TTGCAAAACTTCAATTTCGCCAAATTACGGCGTAATTTAGCATAATTTCTACAACATTATTTCGCGAAATTTTGTTATAAATACGGGTAATTAGCGAAACTTAGATTTCGCAAAACTACTGCGTAATTTTGCGAAATGTTGCAATGATTACGCCTAATTAGAGAAACCTCCATACAAACCAGCCTACAGGAGAACATTTTAACCTTCCTGGACATAAACTAAAAGTTAGTGTACTAGAGAAGGTTTGGGACCTTGTGAGAAGCTTACTTTTAGTACGAGAATCTAAATACATCAAAGGTTTTATGACTGATATCACAGGAATGAACAGAAATTTCCAATTCTTTAAAAGGTTTAAATACCCCTCCTTAGACAAGTCCCCACCACCACTTTAAACATAATACTGTTAACACAAATTCGAAATATAAGGAAGACGATTTTACCGACTCAATTGCCGTAGACTTTTCTCAAGACGTGTGTATCCATTTCCGCCATGAAGCACACACATGTAACCCTCGCTCCTTCGTTCCCCCCTCACCCTCTACACATCCCAGCCCTCAGTCAGGTTAGGAGAGTTGAGCTAGTAACAGCTCCGACACAGGGAGCCTCTTGACTCCTTCATGATGATGATACAGATACTCAGCTAACAGCAGGCGTGCTTATACCCAAGGGTTCCCAGTTCATCATGCATTCTAGAGACAACATAATCGCTCATAGCCAGCATGACAAGCCGCGATCTCTTCCTACTGATTTTGATAAGCCCTGTTGTCCCAGTTCCTGTTGATCTGCTCCACCAACATGAAGCTCTACAACACTCCCATGAAGTGCCATCAAATATTCATCATTAATTCCTTTGTTAATTTCTAAATCAACCAATTTTAACTCCGTCTTATATGCAAATATTTCAAAACTTTCATTTTTTTTAAAATAAATGTTAGAAATATCCATTTGGATCTCTTTATTTTATTATAGTGACTTTTAAAGTCAACAAATACATATAAACTAGTTTATTTTTAATCTTCATTTGACAGAAAACATCTCAAGGAATAATAATTGTCTTAAAACATTTTTAAAAAGTGAATATTTGTAAATTATCTTTTTTTCCATATCATGATCTGAGTTCGTTTCCCTTTTGTCCATTTGACAGCCCATTAAAAATTTTTTTTTATATAATCTTTTTTGTTTGTTTATTTTCTTGTGGTTTTTAGCATTGATTTTGATTGTTATTATAACGTTAGAACTGACAAAGGTCAACCTAGACCGAAATATATTTTGAATAAAATGTGGAAATAAGATCTACTTTTTTTTCTCTACAGAGGTTTGTTCCATCACTATAAACAAACTTTAATTTAATTTGAAAGTATTTAAATTATCCAATCAGATTGGACATGGTTGTATCGTACGTATCCTTACACATATTTCCCTGCTATATTTATTTCTGAGAATTAATTTGTACTTTATTAATTACGGAATGGTTTCGTATTACGGAATTTCAGGTAATTACACTTTAACTAGACTTTCTTTTATATATGTAATTAGCACGTAATTTTGCTTAATGCTCCTCTGTAAGTGAAAGAAAGTGTTAGGCGTAATTACGCGTATAATTACATGTAATGTAATTACAACTGGAAACCCTAATAAATATTCATATTACTAGTACTGCTTCACAACATTGAAATATATAATAGAACGAAACTCTGGCATTCGATGAACTTCGAGAAACCAACTAAATCTTTTTGTACACTTGCTAAAGCACAAAAGGGTAACGATTCATTAAATCAACTTAAAAAACGTGATAATCAGGGGAACTCAGTAGAGTACGAAAATAATGACGAACGTAATGCTGATTTGTGCAGTTATTTTAAGAATATTTATAGCAAAATTCCGGAAAAAAACTTGAGTCTAGAACAATTCTTAACTCCAGAAATTATGAACAATGAATACGTGCAATCAAAATAACTGTCTAATTTAGACTCTGAGAGAGACAACGTTCCAATTACACATTATGAACTTACGAAAGCATTAGGAGAGACAAAGATAGGATCAAGCCCCGGGTTGGATGGGTACAACTACGCTACACTTAAATTTCTATGGCCTTTAATTGGACATCCTGTAACCAAGGGGTTTGAAGTTATGGTTGAAAAGGAAGAACTTTATCCTAACCTAAGAACTGCAAGTATTAAACTTATTCCTAAGAAGGGGGATTGCACACAAATTAAAAATTGGCGTCCCATAAGTCTACTAAGCAACGTTTATAAGGTATTTTCAAAGGCATTTGCCAATAGGCTCAAACGTGTAATTGACTCAAATACATCCGTCTCGCAAAAAGCATATTCAAAATCTAAAGTCATACACGAAGCGTTAATGAATATACTACAATTTATTAGGAAAGGAAAACTTGAGAACAAACAGCTAGCGCTACTGGCAATTGATTTTAAGAAAGCCTTCGATTCTGTATCGCACGAATATATCCTAGAACTCTTAAAATTCTTTAATTACTCTGATTATATGATAAAAATAGTAAGAACCACAATGAAGAAGAAAATTGCTGGCATCATAACTGAGTCAAGTGTTATTAATTTCTTTGAGATATTGTGCGGTGTAGCACAAGGTGACTCACCGTCAGGTCTGATTTTCATACTGGCACTAGAACCTCTGCTCTGGAAGTTGACTTTGGATCCTGGCGTCGTTCATCCTGTCTTCGAAAATGGTTCTCAGGTGTCTGATAGCAGCTATGCTGATGACGTATCCATCCTTGTAAACGGCGAACCTGAAAATATTGTAAATGTTAAGAATATACTTGATGAGTTCGGCAGATTATCGGGCCTTATTATTAACGTAGAAAAAACGCAAGTTCTACCAATCAATGTCTTGCCTAATTTTGCCGAAAATATTGCTGGGACTGGTTTCTCGATTGTGAGAAAATTAACAATACTTGGGCTAGAAATCACTGAAGACTTTCACTTGGTGGCAACTAACTTTAATAAGCTAATGGTGAAAATCAGAGGAATGTCGATATTTTGGTCAAAATTCAAACTGTCAATTGTTGGTCGGATAACTATCGCAAAAACCTATCTCCTGTCACAAATTGGGTTCTCAGCACCTATAGTCACTTTCAGTAAAAATCAGTTGCAAACCCTCAGAAATGAGATTGGATCTTTTGTTCGAGGGAGTTTGAAAACACCAATAAATACGGTATACAACACAATACATCAAGGGGGCTTAGGAATGATTGAGATTGAATCTTACATAAACGCAATCAAGGTTGGGTTTTTTAAAAGATCTATCAATAATGACGATTTCTGGGCTAAGGAAATTAAGAGTTACAGAATATCTGAAGATTTCCCCTTTCATTTTAAAAGCTCAATAGCAGCGGACACCCCATGCGGAGAACTAGCAGTATGTGTTAGGACATTTTGTAATGTATTTTGGTCGACGAATGGTAACTTTATAGATATGAGAATATTCGACAATGACATAGTGAGGTTAGAGTCCGGTGAAAAACTAAGTATAAATCATTTCAGAGAAAATCTAACACACGGAGAAACAACTTCGATTAAAAAACTAAGACTCGTCAACCTAGTAGACATACGTGATAGCGACAGTTTCTCAGAAAATAGTTTAACGTTATACCTAGGGTTTCGACCTAACTTTCTAGAATTAATTTATCTTAAATCGGTGCATAGAAGCGTGAAGAGGCAGTTTGCAATGAATAAGGACAAAGCTTGCACACCTATTGTTACCTTCTTTAGAAAAATAGTTAGGGGTAGCGTCAAATTTAGACGCATAATCGATAATATCGAACCAGAATCCGGGCCGACACCTGGTTTGCGCAAGCGCATTGCCCTATCAAATTATAATGCCGCAAATCCTGAGAGAGATTGCAACTTCAATAAAATTTTCAAAATCTCAAAGCTGAAAAATAACCTACGTTGTTTTATCTTCAATTTTACATCTCAGACTCTATATCATAATGCAATGATTGCTCACTTTGTGCAAGACCACGACCCTATATGTCAACGGTGCGAGCTTGGGAAGCTTAGACCTGCTCCGAGAGAAAACATCTCCCATGTCTTCTGGGATTGTCCAAAAATATGCGATATTTTAACTGATCTAAACCTTATAATATCAAATGGGGCTTTATCACATGAAGAATTAAAAACTACAATTTTCTTAGGCTGTAGCAATCCAATTTCCTTTAACATCGAAACAACCAACATTATTTGCTTCATAGCCATGTACTTTATATTTTCCACAAGGAACGACAGACGAGTGTATAATACTACCAAATTAAAACAATTTATTTCTTACCACACTGCTGGAACTAATAAACCCCTATTCGTCGAATATGGAATTTGAATCAAATTTAATCCTTTCTGTTGAACAAAATAACTTTAAGAATTTCGTGCTGGTTACGATAATAATTGCAATCGCCCTCACTTCGCCAAACCAAACCATGACTATACTCCTCATGGCTAATTCGCCATTTTGTGCGAGACTCAAGAGGGAAGATATATTCAATTTACAGTGCAAACCTTGTGTACCTATTATCAAATTTGAGTCATTAATCATTGTTAAATCAAGATTCCTCATAAGTCAATCCTATAAGGATAACTTTGACGAATCTCATTCACCAAACCTAAAGATATTATGGAACCCTGCACTATACGCAGTACATCTTTACGTTAATTATAAAAATATTACCCTCACCGGTAAAACTGAGCCTTTTATACTTTTAGACAGTTTGAACAAGAACCTTGCGTCCTCATTGGAACGAATCAAAAGTAAATCCCTTGAGGATATTTTCAACATATTTGTAAGCCTTGTTCAAAAAATAAAATTCGATAAATTGGAAAATAAACGCACAAAAACCAAAATATTGTGTGACGGTTATGGATCCGTTAAGGATACCAACGCAAATGCGTGCATCAGCTTTGCAAAATATAAAATAACCATAATGTTATTTTTCAGAGAAATGTCTACCAATACTAACTCCTTTGTTCCTATGGAGGTGGAGGAGGATGGAATGGATGCCTACATGTCCGACTACCAAAGGATGCTAGACAGGTTGGATAGCCCCAGTGAGGTAAGTGGTGAGGGGGTTGGGTCCTGTGCAGGGGAAGTTCTTGTAGAGAGGGAGCCTGATGCCATGGGCAGGGACGGGGGGATTGAAGATGGCAAAGCTAAGCCAGTACCCGGGTCAACTTTTACCTGTCCTGAACCCCGGTCTGATATTGAGAGTGTTCAAGGGGTTGATTCAAACTTGTCAAGGGATGAAAGGGGTAGCGTTAATGAGATTGAAGTTATCAAGGATCTAGTCGTCGCCGAGGACGCGATCCCACGCTATGCTGTGGGACCGTATCGTCGGATCGCAGACTATCTCAATAAGAGCGTTATCAATGTAATTAAGAGAGCCTGGCAAGTACCTCCGCGGGTCGCGAAACCTCTCACCCCCTTAGTTGCACCGCGGTCCGGTTTAGTGCAAACTCAGGGAGGCGGAAAGGCGGTTATTAAACTTGTTCCGAAGGTCAATCTCTCCGCGCCAAATTTTTTTGGGGACCGGAGATCAGGGTATGCCATCAACCTTGAAGGTTTTTCATGCAATTCGAGCTACACGTGCACCTTTGATATTGCTAGGGATTGTAGGACTTGTCCCAACGAGCACGAAGCATTTTCGTCAAATTTGATGGGGACGCTCGTTGTGGGTGACTCCTACACCCCCTGCATTATAGGCGGCGGAGGTAAATGTGTGCCCGTTTTTAGGCAACACAATGCGGGTTTCAGAGAAATCACGTATTTTCTGTTAAAATACAGAAAATCGTCTGTCACTGGCAAACCCTGCTCCCGTCCCAATTTGATAATTGTTTCCCTTCCTGGTCACCTACAGGCAGTTGGACCTGACCAATATTTGAAAGAATTCAACATTTTCAAGGGATGGATTCAACACTTTTTGCAAACGGGAAGGGACTATGATTCGGCCGACGCGCACATTCACAGTCCTTGTACTACCTCAGTTCAGGTTTTTGAAGGTTTTGCACCCTTCATACATGGAGACAGAGGCATCTCGGAATCATTTTTCGGTTCTTGCGCACTCATTTGAAATCTTGTCGGCAGTCGAGCCCACAATGAATCCGGGTTTCTTCTACAAGGCCTTCGAGAACACGATGGTTAAATTCGGTTCTGATTTCAACAAGTCCGAAATGGTCCGATATGTCGCTGTTGACCCTGTAAAACCTGAATTTGAGGTATATGAGGATAAAACTGTGTACACGGGTCTGCCGAAAGCCCTTCTCGGGAGCGAGAATGTAGTTGATCCTGAGGTTGGGGTTTTCTTTATGCAAGAGCTAGTCTCTATGGTCAGGGTTCTGAATTCAAAGGGAGAAAAGGGGAGTTTTTTTGACAGTCTTCCGCTGCCTGCAGAGATTGAGAGCGCGATTCCTACCGGCCCCGATGGCCGACTCACCTCACCGGAGGATGACGAAAATCTTAATGTTTTGACCAGCAGTAACACGCGCGTAGTGGTCGTCGGAAACAGTAACCTTAAGCTGATCAGCGAGGAACTGAAAAAGACCATAAAAGACACCGTTGTCTACGTTAAGTATCCGTTTAACATCTTTGCAGATAGTATTGAAATTGCCGCGTTTATTGATAGCCTCGAGTTGAAGAAAGCCGACGTCATAGTACTCGGAGGTCAGGGTAACTGTCTCTTGCAAGGGATGTTGACCCCCAAATTCAAAAAGCACTCACCATCAGGTGTGCCAGCGGGTTTCTCAATGTTCGGCGCTGGAAGATCAAAGATCTTCCATGCCCTGAACGTTGCAGGTTATGATCCAGAGTACCTCGATAACTTCGGGGTGTTTATTGAAAAAATTATGGGTTTTGTAAACCAGACCGGGGCCAGGACAGTTTTTATACCACCCTTTCCAAGGTACCCTACAGTATGTTGCACACAGTCTGGCCATTTCTGCGCCGGGTTTGACGGGAACCTCTTTAACGCAGAGGTCGTAAGATTGGGGACTTACATCTCACGATTGGAATCCCTCAAGGATGCTTTTGTGTTAACTCCCGAAGACATTTGTCACCGCGACGACTGGGTCTCGAGAGGAAAGATGTTAAAGGACGACCGTGTGCATCTTACTGATAAGGGGGTCGCTGTGGTCCGGTCTTTAATTCAGAAATGTCATCATTTCTGGACGGTAATGGACATGCCCAAACCAACCCTGGGTCCCTCTGTTCCTAGCGGTATCAGGTTTTCCCGATGGGTGGAAACTCATAGAGAGTACTGCGGTTTTGAGGAACTGAAGCCCTCAGGTGCGTTTAAACGCTCGCAGCCGCCCATGTCGTATCAGAAAAAGGCCAAACGCTGATTTTCTGAGCGTGCTTATCATAGAAAGAACCATGCACAGGACTCCCCCCTCCCCCCCCCACATGGGTACCCCAGCCTGTTCAGTACATCCACGGTTGGTCCTCATCTAGGTACTCGTCCTCACCTTCTTCACCTACCAATCCCTAAATCCTAATCCTAATCCTCATCCTAATCCTAATCCAAATCCTTATCCTAATCCTCATCCTAATCCTAATCCTAATCCTAATCCTATCCTTTTCTATACAATCCTATACCTAATCCTACTCCCATCCCATTATCCTTATAACCTTTTCTAAATTTCAACCTTTAAATGCTTATTTTTAATAAACAATTCTTATCCTTATAACCTTTTCTAAATTTCAACCTTTAAATGTTTATTTTTAATAAATAATTGCCAAAATTTGACAATTTCCATTCAATTCAAATTAATAATTAACTATCCTTATAATCTTCTCTAAATTTCAACCTTTAAATCTTGATTTGCAATAATTATTTTTGCAAACTTATGCCAATTTTCGTCAGTACTTTAACTTTCATATTACTACCCTTTCCTCATCCTATTCCTACTGCCTTAAGCAGTTCAAACTATCTCAATAGTGAATTGTATTCTCCAAGCTTGTGGAAAACGGTAAGGATTATCCACACGCAAAATAGTTTCTTGCAAATAAAAATGTCAATTACGCCTTTCCATCTCGGAAAAGTATAGTATAGATTTATATATTTATACACACCACTTACCCTTGATGGAAGTTAATTAAAGTAACTACTTGCTCATGATGATCTAGTTCAAAAACATAAAGTCCGACACATGTCCGACATCATTTTAAATCTCAACTTAGAAATACTACAACAGCTAGGAAATTTCTATCTTTTTGTTTTTTATTTAACCTGGAAGGACAATAATATATAATGCATTTAATTTTGTTGCATTTATTCATTAAGTTGAAAAATACTCTTGGCATTACAAACAGTCATCGCTTTTCTTTTAAAGTATAAAATAATTTTACAATGTAAATTTTACAGTTTTGATCCTTCAGATCCTTCTTTTTAAAGAAAACCTATACTGGTATTTTTAAACCGCAATTCTTGTAATGCAGTTAGACGAGAAACCATCAGGACCTGAACGCTGGAGAAATTTCGGGACAAGGATCGCGTGATCGCCTACAAAGGCTCTACATCACTGTGGATCTCAGATCTGCAAGTTACGACACAGATAGCTACGTTAAACGAGAAACCACCTTGACCTGAACGCCTGAGGATCTAGGAGACCCCAGAGGATCTGGGAAACCTCAAAGCTGTAATCCTCGGCGAAGAATAACGGTAAAATATTATAATTCCAAAGGTCCCTGTGAATACTGGATCGACTTCATTACTAATAAGCCCTAAACCATCTTTTCATACAGAGAGCAGGAGTGTGCACACGGACCGTTTTTGGACTGTAAAGGTTGAACTAATGTACACGCCATTTAAAAATTTTCAATTAAAATTTCAATCTAAAGAAGGTTATGTTATCAGTCTAAGTTTAATCTTCTAATCTAAAATTTAAGTCTTCAGTTGTAAAAAATCCATGAAATTAGTTTTGCGAAAATCAAAGTCCTCACCTAATAGTTTAGCGTCTTAACTCAAACCTGAATTAGAACCCTACAAACAAAATTAAATATATGAGATTCTTGAATTATATTATTTCCTCCCCCATCATAGACCTCTCTTTACCTAGTTAAGCTGAAACCGGGATGACGTATGAGCGGGAACCTGAGAGACTTAACAGCCTCAGCACCGAGCACACAATAACGGTAAAAAATATATTTCCATAAGTCCCGTGATGAGTGGCAGATTTCTTTCTTTACCAATGAGTTTTTAACCTTCTATACACAGAGAGCACGAGCGTGAACATGGAACTATTTGGAATGTTAAGGTCGAAACCTAATGTACACGGTATTAGATCATTTTTCTGAATAAAATTATAAACCCTGAGCATGCAAAACCAGTTGTCTAATTTTAAAAAAAAACCTTCATGTCATACCTCTTCACTTAAACGAACTTCTTATAACATACTGTTAACAAAATTTAAACGTTGAGAATGAAAGCTAAGGTTTAATAGTGTCTCTTCACCCGCTAACCTTTAATTTAATATTTCGGACATAAAACTTTGCTATTTCAAGCATATAATACCAACTCGTACAGAAAAGAGATGTTTTGTGTCCGTGAGGTTAATTAAAGTATACAGGAATAAAACCTATCAGTACAGCCGAGTATCTATATTTTGAACGTCTTACTAATTAAATCCCTATCAATCCGTAAAATTATGAGGACTCCGGTTTATAATCTGAAGCCTTTCCCAATCCTTGAATCTTTTCTCACAATAAACTAATGCTCTGTTTTTTACTGATTCAGTCTGTGGAAGCAGAAACGTCTCCTGAACCGTCAAACCTCATCGCCTGGAAATCACGAAGAAGATGAGACTAAAACCATGCACGATATTACCGTGCATCATACCTGACTACACCTTGAGATTTATTACAAAAATGAAAGGGTTAAATATGAATCCCTTTCCAATTTTCTAGTCAGTACCGTAGAACTTAAGTTTTACATGAGTCTATTCCTTAAATTTAATGCGTCCTCGCACAAATTGAAATTAATGTTCCATAACGAGCTATGGCCACGTAGGCCGTGTAGAATATTAACTACATAAAGGGAAAAACGTGCAGGAAGGAACCATCAATGTTCCTCGCCAGTATGTATCCAAAATATTTTGTTTTTCAAAATTACGTCTGCTATTTAGCAACAAGACGATGTAATTCAATTAGTGTAATACTGATGACGAACCTTCAATGCTCACCGTCAGTATAATAGTAGTTGGCTGTCCATATTACTCTTTTCGACATTATACCATTTTTACATAAAATCTGTTTAATGCACTCTCATCAAATTCTTCTTTTTAAATGCTCCAATAGTATGAAGATGAATTTTAAAAACAAATTAAGGATTAATTAAAAGCAACTTATTCTCAATGCTAACCAAATTGTTCGTCTTGCAAGACAAATCCAAGTTTCTAATTTATCGAAAAAATGAAAATGTATCAGTATGACTATCTAACTTTAAAGTATGTACACATTACTTTCGTAATCCAATTGTAATTTATATATGTTGATATCTTTGTTAACTACAATAACCATGATACGTAAATAAATATCTAGATTTTAAAAATAAGAAATATACCACAATTAACACAAAACAATTACTTTATCAAAATGATAAAAAAGGATCAAACAGTTTATAGCAACACAGTGTAGAGAGAAAACGTCTTGCTAATGAACTACTCCACTGCACCCTACTTGGTCAGAGATCGTACTCGACTGCTGAAGCCTAGCCCAGTACTTTCCTCCCTCTGCCTCAGATTGATGAACCCACACCAATCTCTAGCATCTGATGCCGTGTAGGAAAGTTGGCTTGGCTTGGTGCTATAAATAACATATTAAACTAATAAATAGGCAAACACAAAATAACGGGGTATTTATTTTCCCCTCACTAATATATATACAATTCGTCAAAAAACCATCCTTCTGGCTAGGATTACATTAATTAATTTGATTGTGACTAAAAATGGGTCTTTAACACAATTTTGCCTAAAAAAACATGATTTAACCTAGTTTTACATAAGAATTGAGCCTCAAAATGTGTGTAAGACACATTTGTTATTTAGAAAAGAAAATGTTTTAGAATGTGTCTAATGCATTTTTGTGGCTTCAAAAGTGTTTTAGACATAATTGTGACTTTGAACTGTGACTTAGAAATCGTCAAAAGTGTTAGTTTGACATAGCATGGTGACTTAGAAAATGACTTAGACATAATTGTTACTTAGAAAGTGTTTTAGAATGTGTCTAATGCATGTTTGTGACTTAAAGAGTGTTTCAGACATAATTGTTACTAAGAAATTGTTTTAAACATAATTGTTACTTAGAAAGTGTTTTAGAGTGTGTCTCATGCATGTTTGTGACATGAGAGTATTTCAGACATAATTGTGACTTAGAAATTGTCTCAGACATAATTTTGTCTCAAAAGTATGAGTTCAAGGTAGAATGGTGACTTAGATATAATTGTGACTTAGAAAGTGTCTTAGACATAAGCATGTCTCCAAAGTAAGAATTTTTCATAGACTTGTGACTTAGAGTGAGTTTTGACATAATTGTGACTTAGAATTGTGTCTTTGACATAATTTTGTCTCAAAAGTTTGACGATGATGTAACTGTGACTTAGAACTGTGATTTGAAATATGTCTTGCTATGACTTAGACATGGGTTGACTTAGAATGTGTCTTAAAGTAACTTAATCTGGATTCTGTTGTAAGTTAAAGTGACAGTACGTTTTGATGCTTTAGTATTTCATAAAGGAATATTTTTGATGCTTTCCTACAGCTAATTGATATTTTAGAGATTTCCGCAGCTTGGGTTATGTTAGGTTACACAAAGCATCATAATTGTCCCAATTGATAATAAATAGTTTAGAGAGCGCTTCATTAGGGCTGGACAAAGTTTTGTTAAAGAAAGAGAGGTTTTTCAAATTTGAACAAAAGACTCTGCTAATGAACAGCAGAAACTTTCAATTCAAAATCGTTTACAAAACAGATTAGCCAATTTGAAAAAAAATTAACGGTTAAAACGAAAACAAAACTAATTTTTTTTACAGTGAATTTTTTTTTTTTAGCTTAAAATTGCATTGAACTTGTCTGTGTTTTGATTACAAATTTATTTTTTTGGCTTTTACGCCTTTAATACTGTAACAAGCCATACAATTACATGGACCATTTTGTAATAATTGTTGTAAATTTGCCATTAACCCCGTTAAAAAAATTGAGATAGTACACTATCGGTATCTTAAAAATGACCGGAAAAACCGTTACCGAAACAAAGCTCAGTTCTTACCCTCTGAAACAAACTGCTACCTGATATTTAATTCTAAAAAAGTTGAAACTAACCCTTCACGAAACAGTGAGAAAATGTCCCCACCAGCCATATGATTCATACCAATCTTTAGGTAATAAAATAAGTTTTATATTTCTAACGTTAAGTTACAAGCTTTCATGAACCATAACAAATGAGATATATTAACAGCAACAAAATTGAGTCTTTGACACAATCTCTTATTTTGTAATCTTTTTTATCTTCTAAACTAATTAGTAGCTAAGAAGTAAGAAAAAACTTTTGTGCTTATCATTATGTTTAATAAGAATTGTTTCAATCCAGTAATTTTAATTAATTTATCGTTACGACAACATTTATAATTCTAAACTATTTCTAGTCCTTACTTTTTAAATTGGGCCCCGACACTGTAATTTGGAAATTTTACCAACCCAAATAATTGTGTATGGTACAACTTGTCATCTTTACTTTGTCAGTATTTTTTAAATTTGAGTTGTGCTCCCTTAAGCTTCGGTTTGTTGTAGTTACGTGATAATTGTCAAGTGAACAGTAAATATTCTTTTTAATCATTTGTGACAAATTAATTTATTGGAAAAAATTTCAAAAGACGTACCAAAGTGCTCATTAGTTGATCACAGACGTTTCTTTCTCACTCAAACCATGCCACTCACAATATGAACACATAATTGTCATAGTGTTTGTCGACAAAATGGTCACGTTCTGAACTCCCTGGAGTTACTTCTCTGGAGGTGGAAACTGTTGAGCTTTCTGGGTGAAGTTAAGCCTGTAAACGGTTTAGCTCTAATAGTAATTTTAAACCTGTTAATGGTTTAAGGAGAACTCTTGATAAGTCTCCTAATATTAAGTGATTTGCTCTGGTAAACTTTGAACAATTATTCTCATGATCCTGAAATCATCATGTTCTGAACTCTTGATGCAAAAGATGTGTAACCCCTGAAGTCGAGAGGGGAACAAAAACTGAGTTTCGTTCCTTGTTCTCTTTTAAATTGATTCAAAGGACGAATTTATCCATGTAAGAATTTATAACTTATTTCCGAGTTACCAAAGGTTTTATTTCTTGAATTGATTTTGTGCGTATTTTTTTATTCTCTGCATATTGCATTTTATGATTATGATAAATTAATTGGGGAATCTGTTACAGATTGAACCGTAGTTGGAACAAGTCTTGGAGTGTTTTCTTTCTGGAGAGATTTGAGATTTTGTCCTGGTTCCATTTCTAACCCTGCAGCAGATCATGGTTGATACTTTAGGATATTTTAAGCTGCCAGATTCAGTAGGGAAACATTCAATCCTAGTCCGTTAAATGGGTTGAATTTTTTACGATAACTTGATAACCTGATAGACTGATAATGCCTTTGGGGCCTGATAACCTGATGGGTGGGGGGAGAAGATGTTCAGCCTCTGAAAGTGAAGGGGGATGTGATGATACATACTTTAACCCTATCCCCGCTGGGGTACTTGAAAACCAGGATACGCTGGGGGTAATTGATTCCAAGCCTTTACAATCCAAAGAGTTTATCAATCTTTTCAGGAAAATTGGGGATTGGGGATTTGGTAAGTCTCAAGGATAGATTGAAGAGCATCCAGAGGAGAGCTCTTGCTGTAATCCATGATGATCAGGGTGAAGATATTCCACAAACCTACCAGACAGATCTGCCTCATCATAATCCTGCAGTGATCAACTTATCAGAGAGCAGAAGTATGAATCAAGATGATGTATTCAACAACGAGCAAGGGATCCAAAGTTCTATGAATCCAATTGAAAATCGCTCAGGAGGAGGAGCTAATCTTAACTTATCTGGAGTTGACATATTGCCTGAAGAAAATAGTGGCAGCACTGTAGTGGCATCAGGTATAAACTCAACAAAAGTAGTTTGTTCTGAGTTAGCTCCTTCCCTGAAGATCAATAGGATCCTGTCTAATAACAAGGATAGAATACAGATTGCAAAGTGCAAACTGCAGGAGTGGTCTGAGGGTGTAATAGAGAAGAATGGAGGTAAAGTGCCTCCTGAAACAATGTTATCCTTGCAGAAGAAAGTAAGAGCTACTGCTCCTGGTATAGCAGTGGAACCATTCCTGCGAGAGATATTTGGTTCTAAGATAATGGTTCATGCCAAGGCGATGGCTGATGCTGAGATAGTGGCTGATGCTAAGATACTAGCTGATGCTACGCTGATAACTGATACTGAGAAAATGGTTGATGCCAAGGTGATGGCTGATGCCAAGATAGTGGCTGATGCTAAGATACTAGATGATGCTATACTGATGACTGATACTGAGATAATGGTTGATGCCGAAGTGATGGCTGATGCCGAGATAGTGGCTGATGATAAGATACTAGCTGATGCTACAATGATAACTGATACTAAGATAATGGCTGATACCAAGATGATGGCTGATACCAAGATGATGGCTGATGCCAAGATAGTGGCTGATTCTAAGATATTAGCTGATGCTAAGATAATAACTGATGCTAAGATAATAAATGATACTAAGATAATGGCTGATACCAAGATGATGGCTGATACCATGACGATGGCTGATGCCAAGATAGTGGCTAATGCTAAGATATTAGCTGATGCTAAGATAATAACTGATGCTAAGATAATAACTGATACTAAGATAATAGCTGATACCAAGATGATGGCTGATGCCGAGATAGTGGCTGATGCTAATATACTAGCTGATAATTCAATGATAACTAATGATGAGATAATGGTTGATACCAAGATAGTGGCTGATGCTAAGTTACTAGCTGATGCTACAATGATGACTGATACTGAGATAATGGTTGATGCTGAGGTGATGGCTGATGCAGAGATAGGGGCTGATGCTAAGATACTATCAAATGCCAAGATGATAACTGATACTAAGATGATGGTTGATGCCAAGGTGATGCTGAGATAGTAGCTGATGCTATGATACTGGCTGATGCCAAGATGATGGCTGATGCCTAGATAAAGGCTGATGCCAAGATGATGACTGATAGCGAGATAATGGTTGATGCTGAAGTGATGTCTGATGCCAATGTAGTGGCTGATGCTAAGATGATGGCTGATACACTAGCTGATGCTAAGATGATAGTTGAAGCCGAGATAGTGATTGATGTTGGAAAGATGACTGATGCTGAGATGATAAATGATATTTTGATAATGGGAAAAATTGATTTGGTGTCTGGTCCTAAAATGATGACGGATCTTAGAATGATGGGAGATCCTTAGAATAATGGAGATCCTAAGAAGGATGGAGATACTAAGAAGAATGGAGACCCTGTAGAAGCCTGACTTTTAGTTATAAGAAAACATGATTTTGTCCTACATGTTAAAATTAGAATTGAGTTTGCATAAATGCGCAAACAGTTTCACTGATATTTCGCAAACTTGTTCAATCTCGGATTTTACACTAGTCATTCTTAGTATGTTAAACGAGTAACATATGAATAAATAAACTTGTGAAAATATGTTATCATTCTGAGTTATTGAGACTTCTACAACCCTAAGAATAATGGAGATTCTAAGAACAATTGAGATTCTAAGAAGAATGGAGATCCTAAGAATAATGGAGATCCAGAGTTGGGTTGTGATCCTGAGAGAAGTTGTGTTCATGAGATAAGTTGAGTTCCTGAGTTGATGGGTCATCCCTGTTTAATGGGTGATCCCGGATTGCTTGCAAACCCTGTTGTAGATGAGTCTGATGACTCAGGAAATGACAATTCTTTTCTCGGTTTTGGCGCTTCGCGTTGGCAGAGGTGTAGCTGGAGAGCTACTAGTCGATCCTGTGTATCATGGATGGAGAAGAGCTCTGAGAATGGTAGGATATTGACGATCCTGGGTTCATGAGATCTCTGGGTCTGATAAAATCTCCCAGTTTGATGAGATCTCCTGGTATGATGAGATCCCTTGGGTTTACAAGATCTCCTGGTCCGATAGATCTATTGGTCTGATGAGATCTCTTGGTTTGATAAGATTTCCTGTTCAGAGGAAATTACCTGATCTGAAGAGATTTTCGAGAAGAATTCCTGGTTTGAAGAAATTTCCTAGTCTGAGAAGATTCCCTGGTCTGAAGAAACTTCCTGGTCTGGGGAGAGTTTCTGGTCTGAAGAGATTTCCGAGCAGATTTCCTGGTTTGAGGAAATTTCCTGGTATAAGGAGATTCCCTGGTTTGAAGAAAGTTCCTGGTCTGAGCAGGTTTCCTGGTTTGAGAGAATTTCATGGTCTGAGGAGATTTCCTGGTATGGTCAGATTTCCTGGTCTGAAGAGTTCCCATGTGTTGTATTCCATGGAGTGCATACCTCAGATCATATAACTTGTATACAGTGGGATGCATTGTTCTCTTGGATATCTAATACTATTGAAGGTTATGGAGTCAAGAGATGGATCCTGGTTTTATTAAACTATGGGACAGAAACCACAACACTCATTGTTGCTGGTATCAAACTTTTATAAACAATGACCACCTACTAAACTTGTGACCTGATAAATGGTTGGGATCTAGCAGATTACCAATCATGTCCAATTGTTTTTTTTGTGTTTAATATTGGGAACTAAAGATTTGATAACATAGAGATGAGGAGGGTTTTGAAAGTAAAAACACAAAAGTCTCCATTCTATTTTAAACACAAAAGACGTTTGAGTGGTATCTCTGATGTAACCAGTGTAGACACAAGTTTTATAGTACAGAATGTACAACTGTATCGTGTTTTAGAATACTGAAGACTGAGGACTGGGTCAAGAATGAGAAGGATGAGTACATGATTGAGAAGATGTCTGTTCAAGCTGTCCTGGCAAGGATCATAGGAAGAAGATCAAGATGTTTACCCAGGAGAAGCCTGATGTTCTTCCTGTGGCTGCTCCTTGTCCTGATGAACCTCTCTCTAGTACTAGCTTTGTGGTGAGCAGGGAGTACAAGAGATCCTGGAGTAGGACTGCAGGACGTGATCTGACCTATGATGAGATGATAAAGGGTCCTGAGGCTGCTCCCTTCCTAGAGGAGCTGGATTTCAGTTTCGAGATTTCTCTGGAGGTGCAAACTGTTAAGCTTTCTGGGTGAAGTTAAGCCTGTAAAGGGTTTAACTCTAATAGTAATTTTAAACCTGTTAATGGTTTAAGGAGAAGTCTCCTAATATTAAGTGATTTGCTCTGGTAAACTTTGAACAATTATTCTCATGATCCTGAAATCGTCAAGTTCTGAACTCCCTTGCCCCTGAGCTCTTCATACAAAAGATGTGAAACCCCTGAAGTCGAGAGGGGAATAAATCTGTACTGGAACAACAAATCTAGTTTTGATTTGTAAACTTTACCTTACATTTGTATTGTATCCGCCATTTATCATCAGTTAAACTTGATATTTTGATACAAAAAGTATTGTTCGTCGTGATCTTTGAACGGCAAATTAAGGTATTGATTAGACATTACTACGTTATTTTTATAGAACTGAGTTTTGTTCCTTGTTTTCTTTATTTTTGATTCAAAGGACGAATTTATCCATATAAGAGTTTATAACTTATTTCCTAGTTATCAAAGGTTTTATTTTCTTGAATTGATTTTCTACATATTTTTTCATTCTCTGCATATTGTATTTTATGATTATGATAAATTAATTGGGCAATCTGTTACAGATTGAACCCGTAGTTGGAACAAGTCTTAGAGTGTTTTCTTTCTGTGCAGAGATTCAAGATTTTGCCCTGGTTCCAATCATAACACTGTAGCAGATCATGGACGATACTTTTGGATATTTAAAGCAGCAAGATTTGGTCCCGAAACACAAATATTCATTGAACTTTCAATACAACATTAGTTTCTTGCTAGTTTGACAAACTGTTTTGAAAATTCAATGTCTTTTTAAAAGTCAAAAAAGTAAAACCTTAAAATTATGTATGAGCTTTCAATCATTAAGATGTTGGTCATATGAGTTTAAGGAATTTTAGATTTTAATATATTTTAAAAATAATCATTATGTGCATTTCAGTGAATAAAGCATAATGGCATCAAAACAGGAAAAGTTTAAAAGATGTGTTTGGTACGCCGTCTTCATCGCATTATTAGTAATCACCATAACTCAGTTGAAGCAGAGTTTTGATAGCTGGGAGGAGAGACCCTTTGATACTATAGTGGACCATGTTCCTAAACAGAATATCCCATATCCAAGTGTTACTGTGTGCCCAGCAGGTAGGATGATTCCTATTTCTTCTGCCCCTCCCCCTCCCCCCCCCCCAACATTTTTGACATAACTGCACTTCACTAATGGCTAAAAGCTCTTTTTTAATACTAAATGCCTAACTGCCTTAAGACATACTGCCTGAATGCCTTTTTAGTTCTTTGTCAGACCATATGTAAAGAAATTATCAAAATTAAAATTAGAAAAACTAGTATTTTTCACATTTTTGAGCAGATTAAGGTTTCAAGGGTACTGTAAATCTGGCACTGCATGGAGGGTTACTAAAAAATAAGCTTTCAGCTTAAGGAGTGAAATTTTAGAAGTTGATGTAAACAAGGGAAAATGAACAATCCTTGATATAAAAGGCTAAGGCTGCGAAATGCAGTTTGAACACAGATTTTTTTACTTCTAAAGCACTTCTCAAGCACTTTTTAAGCGTATGACCTTCAAAAGTAATTAAGGAAAAAACTGTCAATAGAGAATATTTGGTTTTTGTTCTAGGTTCAACTATTTGGTCCGGAGTACGACAATTTCTAAATGAAATGGAATTCAAGGATGAATACAAAGACATGCTGAAACAATCCTACAATACCCTTTTAAGGTGACATGACAGCCTGAATAACTGTAACAAAATAATATTGGTAAAAATTTCATTAAATTTCTAAAGAATACATGTTTTCAAGTTTCTATAAAACAATTTGTAAGAGGCTTTTAATGAATACAACGTAATAGAATGATTGACAATTATGTAATAATTGTTGTATTGTTGGAAAGGTTAAAAGTTGCAAACTTAAGACTTCCTGGTAAACTTGATCCATATATCCATACCTACCAAGATTGTTATGACTGGACGGATTACCTAAACAACAGGTTCAATATAATATTCATTTTTATTTAAATATTTGAATTATTTTTCAGATTGCATGGTCTTTGGTCTTACATCAAAAAAAATATTCATCATGATGAGTCACATTCTGCTTTTTCTAAACTTAAAGATGTACAGAATCTAAAAATAATTAAAGATTAAGCACAAAATTCAAATTTTGTCTTTTTCTTTTTGTCTAGATCTTGGATTGTTTTGTTAAAAAAAGGATCTATGTTCAAAACTAGATATGAATCCAATATTGAACTAAACCCAGATCTAGATCTAAATCCAGTTTATGAATATATTTTCAGTTCAAGAAAAAAAGATTTTTTTTGTTTTTTTAACAGAAACTTAGTTAACTATTTAATAGTTAGAAAAGATTTAATCATATCAGTATTTTTTAATTTTTAGTTTTTCCAAACTTGTCAATTTGGAAATTGTTAAAACTTTTTGATTTTTGTGGTATTTCCAGTTTGAAAATAGAAATGGAAATCTTATTATGGGAGTTTACTGAATTTACATAATAATTAATGCATTATAAGCCACTCAGCATAGATTTCAGTTTTGATATTTTCTTACTTTTAACCTTCAAGGAGAATGTTCATTATGGAACCGAAAATATGAGTAGTGTAAATCTATTTATCCAAAACTGGAATCTCTACTTTAGTGCCCAAGTTTGTGACACAAACTCAGATTTTAGTTCCTTTAAGTTCTTACATTGCATTTGCATAACAGAAAGTGACTAAACACTAAAAATACTTTACATTAATAAATATAAAGGAAAAAAATTATCTTCTAACATTTGGTCCAACTTCTATCAATCAATAATGTCTACAGTGTGTTAATTTTTATTCAAATTTTAATTCAATTTTGAATTGTGACTTTTGCAGAGAGGTCTGCAACTTTGCAATGTATGTGCTAGAAATGACCAGTAGAATGATCAGTGAGGATATTTTTACCAACAGAACACTAGCTAAATATCAGAAGAACAGACTAAATGTCCGCTTTGAAGAAATAGAGGGTTTGGAGTTTGGTCCAGGCTGCTTTAGTACAGGGTTTGCTTGCAACTTAGACCTGAACTCTGTTGTTAAGCAGCCTGCTTATAGCAGGCTACCCAGTTACCTAGATCTTCTTACGGTGGAAATGGTTGAAAGTGGTATAACTGAGAATCCATTTGACATAGTTCTTCAGGTTTCTATATTCTACATTTTTACACTGTTACTATATCATATTATTATTGATTTATATTCCTTTTTTGATCACTTATTATAAGTATGTTTTTTAAGAAATGAATTTTAAAATCAATTTTAAGAAAACCCTCCTAGTCTGATTAATTCTTGTAATAAAGTTAAACATGAAAAAGGTTTTTTTGTCTTAATATGGGTCTTGCATTTATACATGCATTTTAACCTTTACTTTAATTCTAAGTTTTACAGGGTAAAAACATAATGAAAATCATTTAACTGTTAGGAAATGTATCTGCCTCCTCCTATCACAACCCCAGAACCAGTAACTGAGACAACTGAGACAACTGAGTGTGATTATTGTTTATTTAAACGTGAGATACCAAGTACTACGGATAATCCATCTTGGGAAGATGTCAGAAAACTAAACTCTACCTTTAGTTTTCCTCCACCAGCAAATATTATGGTATCTTATCTATATACATATATTAAGTTGTAATATCTGTTTGGGTGTTTGTTTGTTTGTTTGTCTGATCATAACTCAGGAACCCCTGAACTGATTTGCCTTAAATTTTTATTGGGGAACTTGGGAGACCCACAGGAATGTCCTTAGCTTGGTTTTGAGATTATAAGTTAAGTGGGTCGACTTTAATAGCGAAATTTATTTTCCCCGTAAAATTTTTCAAGTAAGGGTAAACTTTGGAGTAACTTTTAGAACCTGGATACCTCTAGGTTTCTAAGCTAGTTCATTATATAATTAAATCAATGTTATTGAATATATTTCTAAAGCAATATTTTTAGTACTATGTTATCTCAACTATTGCCAGTGCATGGCCAACACTGTCTCAGATGTACCATGAATACTCAATGCTTTCCAAGTTACAGTTTCAGAATTTCAAGAATCTTGGAGATTTTATTGTTCCCATGGCAAAACAAGCATTATATGATGAAAGCATTTATTATTATCTGACACAAGGATTGATTGAAAACACAGAAAAAGAATTGCAAGATTTCTTGAGATTTATCCTACAAGAAATTACTGAAGAAAAGGAGTTATCCTGGAGTTTAATAGATGCTATTGATATTTTGGTAATTCTAGGTAAGCCTTATCTATGCTCCATACTTTCATTATAAGATTGATAGTTTTATAGAAATAATATTTATAGGCGGAAATGAAGCAACAACAAGAGTTTCACCTCTCAGAAATGATTTTATTGGGCGACAGGATAGTTGGCTAAGTCTAACCAAAACTGAGAAACAATGTGTATTTGATGAGTATGAGAAACTGTTAAACAATCTACCAGAGTTTGAGGACCCATGCATTGACCCATCCAGCATGTGCAAACAGTTCTGTAAGAATATGGCACTTATGCAAAAACATGCAAAAGATGAGAAAATACAAAAGTTGTTGCGCTATGTCTCCCATCCAGCTAAATATTCTAAGAACAGCACCTGGACTGTGCCATTTTGTTTCACAGGAAATGAACAAGAGAAGTTTACACAGTTGATAAAGAAACCAAATGTAAATACTGGATCTAATGAAACCAACTATGGATACAAATTCTGTGAATCTGTTGAACAACGTTTCACAGATGTAGGTTTATGCACAACTTTCCATGACGCCAATGTGACCTATCCTCCGAAAGGAATGTCAAAGCCATTTCAAAAAGGAATCACTATGATTTTGGATTCTTTTGCATATTTTACCATTACCAGGGAAATGAGGTCTTTCAGGGATTACTTCAAGGTAATTTAAACAAATAAAATTATGAACTGCCAACAAACTGAACTTTCATATTTCAGGAGTCTAGATTAATCTCCCCAGAAACTTTAACTGATAACAGCTATAATGATTTCTATGTATTTCTTCATTCCAAGGATGATATTCCGCTCTTTCAAGGACCTGAAGACAAAAGGATTTCATTGAGGAATGGAAGAGAAAAAAGATCCAACTATTTAAAAGAGTATAGGATTCCATTCACTGTAAAAATCACAGAAACAGAGAAGATCCTTGAAAAATACAGTATCACACAGCGTAAGTGTAGGTTTAAGCATGAACTTGGAGAAATGAAATTATTCCAAAAATACTCCAAACAAAATTGTATCTTTGAATGTAAACTAGAAATGGTAAGGAAGATGTGTAACTGTTTACCCTGGTATCTGGACCTAAAGAACCAAACTGAACCTGTTTGTAACCTATTTGGGAATAAATGCTATGAACAGAGCACCATACAGGCAAACCAACATCTTGACTTCAGCAATCCAAATAATCCACCGTGCGATTGCTTTCCAGACTGTGAGGTATCTAGAATCAGTTTAAAAAGCGAAATTTGATAAAAAATTCATAAACTTCTAATCAAATATCTACCAATAGTTTTCATGTAGTTTGAATATTTCCCAAAGAGCAGTAAACTGCATAACATAGTAAATAACGACATGGTCATGCATACTTCATAGTTGGGTTTAAAATCAAAGCATCAAAAAAGAGAAATTTTCAAACTGGGAATGTTTTTTTTAACCCTAAGTTGTATTTCAAGATTTTTTGCAAGGTTTCAAAAACTTCATGTTGTTTAAGAGTTTTCTGGATTCAAAACTTAACATATTTTAATGCTTAGTAATGAGAGCTCAAAAACTCACATAAAACTTACAAGCAGAATTTTTCAAACTGGTTTTCATTTTTGTTTTTAAAATTTTCAAAAATGCACTAAATGAAAGAAAGGTTCAAAGTGTACAGGAGTTAGTCAGACGAGCCACACCTAACATGAAAAGTGCTTATCTTGTACAGAATAAATGTAAAGTTTTCTTTGTCAGGGTGTAAGCTATAATCCCTCCTCAGAGACAAGGACACCTACAGCTCTGGAGAACAGAAATATTTTTGATCTTGGATGGAATGACGTGGTCATGGATTGGGATGATGATGCAATGGTGATTGAGTTTAGCAAAAAAAAATTCCTATTTGATTATGTTGCAGACATGCTGAAAGGTACTTTATGAAACAAAAAACCAATATTTACATTATATAGTATTTTCTACTGTGAAGGGGTTGCTTAGTTCCATTAAATTACAAACAATACTCCAATTTTCTAAATTAAAACCACATCTTGCTGCTCAGAAGGACAGAATTATAAATACTTTCTGTCAAAAAAAGCAATGTGTAATGTTCTGTTACCAGATACAGGTATACCATGTTTTTGGTTTCATCCAGTACGGAATGGTAAAAAGGCTAGTTGGTGTTTCAAAAAAAATCTCAAATAGCCCATAACTTTTTGGTTTTTAAGCTATAAATCTAAAAGTGTCAGATATTAATATCAATCAGTTATCAAAAATATTAGATAAGATTACAACACTACTAGTTTTTGGAGCGAGGGGAAAATACATAATTTAAAAATTCATAGAGAAAGCTTTATAACGCATTGTGTTATGAAATGTTTTATGAAATGTGTGTACTTCTCTTGACGCAATGGCTATCTCTAGATTTAATGAGCTCTCTACCAAAACAGAAAAAAAAAACTGAATTTGAATTTAAATTTTATTATAATAGAATAAAGATTTCTAGAAATATTTGAGTTTTTTTCAGAAAAAATTCCGTCACCAATGAAACTATGGAACCATGTTATATAATATACAGCTAATTTAACATTATAGCATGATAGTGACTATGAGAGATAAAGTAAACAATAGTTCCCCTAAAATTTATCTTATGTGTTTAGAAAAAGGAGGCAAGATATTTTACAGATCTAACCTAACATCAGATATTGATAACATGGTAGACAAAAGACTTTGCAAAGAAAGTCTCATAAACTGTCTCATCTGGCAGAGGGCTGTAAATCTTGCATCAGTTTGGTTGGATTTTGAGGACAACTTTTTTGTCAAGTAAATCTCAATTATTAGCTATTTTTTTACCTTTGAGGACCAAAATGTTTTTTTTTCTTTTTACTTTTTTATCATTATCTTAAAGTTGGCAATCACAGATTATAGTTATTTATGAGATGGACTGAAGTTCTATAACTCAAATTTCTCCTAAGTTGACAGTTGAAAACCTCATTTCTCTGAATTTTTGTAGTGGTTGAGTTTCTATTACAGAGAAAGAATAGTTTGAACTTTTATTAACGATAAAGATTAGCTCTGTCCATAAAATAATTCCAGTTAGTGTTTGATAATTTTCAACAAATTAACCTGCATTTATTCTTTTGAGTAGATTTGATATATAATATAGTAGTTGGCAACTAATTTATCCATTTCCAGGGAACGTTTGATTGAAAGAGTTCCAATCGGAGACAAAATTTCATCCATTGGAGGAACACTTGGTAATCTTATCTAAATTAGCATTGAAAAATTAATGCACATTTTTTTATGGATAAAATCAATACTTAAAAATTACAAAATTATTAGCAACAAAAAAACTGCAATAATACCATTGGAAAATTGGTTTTTATTTACCACTAGCATATAAATAGCATATATTTCATATAAATTTTAAAGATTTGAATAAAATCTTCAAAATTATCATTTTTCAGGTTTGTTTCTGGGATTCTCCTTCTTAGGTATTGTTGATATAGTTTACTGGGTAATCAAAACAGTTGAAGAACAGATGAGAAGGATAAAATGGAAGTAGAAAGGATGAGAATGAGACAAAAAAAACTCAGCCATAATGGTGGTTAAGATGTTTTAGTCAGTAAGCATTTACAAGTTGTAGATTTTTGGTTGGACTACACATTTTTAATAACAAAGTTCATTATACATTCTTCAAATGATGACAGAAAGTTTTATACCTAGATATTCTTATAGTGTCTTGGCTAAGTCGACTTCAAGCAATAAATGCAATGTCCTAAATTATTTTTAAAAATATCTAGATGTTTCTAAATGTAAATTTTTCTTAAAAAATAAATGTTTTTTTGTCGCTTTGTTTTTCTATCTCATTTCATATTTTGATGAAATACTCACAATTTTTTCGAGTAAAATTACGGATGGTTTGATGTTGTTCGATTAAATCCTTGGTACCAGAGAAACACATAGTTGAAAATATGAATATATTTCAAACCTACAAAATACAGTTTTTATAATAACTAGCTGAAGGTAGGGAATGTTAATGTTTTCATTTTTTTTAAAACGATCGTTTTGTTATGAAAACGACGACGAAAAACTGAAAAAAATGATCGTTTTTAAAAACGATCATTTTTAAAAACGTTCGTTATAAAATTAATAATTTCGTTAACAATCGTTAAGGATGACCCTTCATTAACAATCGTTAATGAAGAGAGGAAACCAACCTGAAAGGGCATCTGTACTTATCATTTTGTAGTTTTAAAGAAGATATTATGAAGTTTTAGCTCCCCCACAACTTTTTAACTGTAAGACGACATTCAATAAAGATGCATGTCATTTTTGCATGTAATGATCGACTCTCTGGATCCAAGTTCAACGCCGGAGAGAACAGAGACCGCAACCTCCGGATCCTACTCCATTTCTCTTCCTGATGGCAGAATCTAGACTGTGACCTACACTGTCTCCGATGCTTACTCTGGATACGTCGCTGACGTCACAAAAATAAAAATAAAAATAAAAATAAAAAATAAAAAATCAATTTAAAGCTCTTTTGTTTTTGAGATTTCTTATATATATATATGTAGCAAAAACAAAAATATAATCTTTATTCTTTATATTAATGATATTAGTTTAACAAAACTTTAAAATTTTGTCAAAATGTCTTCTTAATAATTCTTTCTGAATGTGTTTGATTAAAGTGATGGGCTGCAGGTGTTTCTATTTCTCGAATTCTGAAAAAAGTACAAATGTGAAAACAATATTGAAAAACTGTACATTCAGTTATGTTCAAATAATTGGGCAAGCGGGAGTTTAACATTAGTAAAAATTATATCTATCTGAAGAATCTAAATTGTTGGCTATAAAAACTAAATTATTAGGAACAATGATTTTTTGGTGTCCAAATTTAATGAAGTTGAGCCGCGGCTTAAATCTGCAAAAAACGGTTTCAATTGAGCGCCGGCTTAAATCTTGAAAAATTAAATACAATTTTAAGTGGAATTAGCCATATTTGAGCCGCCGCTTAAAAGCAGCGGCTTAAACTCTTAAAATTCGGCATTGGGAATGTTATTTTAGATATTTGAGGAAAATATAGTTTATTTACTTAAATTTCTAAACGGAACTGTTTGCATCATCGAGAGAAAAGAATATAACATTTTCAAACTTGAATTAATTATAAAATAAAGCAATAGTTGAAAATCGATTATACGTTTCTATTTGCATATTAAAAATGCTAACAAGCAAAGTAAATAATTCTACGTTAACTCAAGTTTATCTTAAACAAAGAGCAAAAATATGATAATATAGAAAACAAGTGTGAATCTTTTTTCGGTAGAATTTAAAAACTGTCAAAAAAAAGCATTTTTAAATGATTTATTTAGAATAGTTGCACAGTTGTGAGGTATATCTCACAAATTGTTCGCTGCAGTGATCAGAGACATTTTTCTGCTTTGTACATTTAAAACTGTCTAATTATTGAACAATAATTATAAATATTTAAAGGACTGCAGACGAAATTTTAAGTGACAATAATAGAGTGGCATGTCTGATCTGATTCCTAGCAGAACCTTTACAATCTTTGTCTTTTCAAGAATATGTGATACATCTATCATTTCCTCCATCAAAATTGATTGCTTTGGTTAGTAGTTTCTTATAAAGTAACTTGCGGACTTTTGTTTTAGAAACAATTGAAGATATTGTCTGAATTAAACACTCCACATTATTGATTAGATGAAGGTTTATGGGGTACCAATGTGAATAGAGCATGCTCCCTTTTTTAAAAAATAAGGTTACTTGAAATTACGTCTAATAACTCACCTACTCCTTGTATCAAGTCTACAGACTAGATCCCCTGTATCCAGTTTACTATGTGTGCATACATATCCTAGACAATATCCAGTTTACTATGTGTGCATACATATCCTAGACAATATCCAGTTTACTATTTGTACATACATATCCTAGACAATATCCAGTTTACTATGTGTACATACATATTCTAGACAATATCCAGTTTACTATGTGTACATACATATCCTAGACAATATCCAGTTTACTATGTGTACATACATATCCTAGACAATATCCAGTTTACTATGTGTACATACATATCCTAAAAAATATCCAGTTTACGATGGATATTGTCTAGGATATGAATGTGGGACTTTATTTTTGGTCCCACTGAATGCATATGATTTACCTATGTTGTCGTTATTACAATGTAGATGAACTCCTACACCACCCTGGACTGGTAGTATTAGTGTGTCGGGTATATCAGACAGGGTTAGATTTAACACCAGATCTGGTACAAAAACCCTAGATATAGATATATATATAAAGAATAGATAAACGGTCGTGGTCGGCGTATATTAATACAAGGAAGACGACTTTAATTTGGATTTTTAACAAGCTTTTAATTAAGCAGCATAAAGCTTCTCTTTGTTTACATGTAAACTTGTAGTTTGAAATCAAAAAGTAGTCTACATTGCATTGATATAAACGCCACCGAACATACAGGGTGTTCTATATGCATGACAGTTAAGAAACGACATTAAGGTTGTTAATGAAATAATTTGCCATTCATTAATGGGTTGTCATCTTTGCATTTACGCATTCAGTCCCTTTTCTTCAAAGGCCATTTGTTTTATAGTATTTTGTTTATTTAGCTAAATAAAATATAAATATATAGCTAAATAAAATATAAATATATAGCTGAATAAAATATAAATATATAATTACCTGGGTTGAATATTAATGGAGAATATTGGATCTGAACAATTTGATTTCTTTCCTTCATATAATCCTTCCAACTCTCGTCTGCAGACAACCAACAATAAACTTACTTAAAGGGAGTGTTTTCAAAAAATGAAGGGGGGTAAAAGTGCTTTTAAGCGCTACTAATCTTACTTCTATCTGTTGCGTCTATAAGGAGAAAATTGTTAAAAATGACTCATGCTGAAGAACTTAGCGTCCATATAAATTCATAAAGTTTCAACATTCAACTTGGATCGTAAAAACTGAATTTAATTCCTAAACAATCATTTAGATATTACAACCAATAATCATCGATTATTTTTCGACGCATTCGTATATAGTTGATATTTCATATTTTCTATTTTTTATTTTCTGAGAGTTACGTTTGAAAACATTTTTTTTATGTTTCGAGGATTTTTGATAATGAAGACGCCATTTCATATTTTCCAGGAATGTCGAAAATCCAGCGCCAGCGAAATACTATTAAAAAAAAAATCAAAAATTTTATGAAATAATAAATAGATACGAATGCGTCGAAAAATTATCGATGACTATTGGTTTTAATATCTGAATGATTGTGTCATTTTTCAATAGAGGCTTCTCAGCAAAAAAGTCTGGCACATGTCTTGTTAAAATAAACAATAGATAACACTTTTTGAGTCTGATAAACGACGGTAGCTTCCACATTTTAAAATCAGATTTAAGTTTAAAAAGTACCATGTACATCGGGCATTGTCATCTTACCATGAAGGATCAGTTAAAATTACGTTTACATTACCTTTTAGAAAGGGGCTGTTTTCAACTTTTAAATCGAACTATTCTGTATGAAGTCTACGTTGACTTGTCGGCCCGTTAAATAACGTTGTATTCATGGAAACAGATGTTTTCTTTTAGCCATCATAAACGAACATAAAAAAATATTCTTTCAGTCTATAATAAGGAGAATTTGTGTTAGTCATTTCACACGAAGTGTTCCATACGTCGAAGTAATTAACACAAAGTGTTCCATGTCGAACTAGTTCACACAAAGTGTTCCATAGGTTGAACTATTTCACACAAAGTGTTCCATAGGTTGAACTATTTCACACAAAGTGTTCCATAGGTCGAACTATTTCACACAAAGTGTTCCATAGGTTGAACTATTTCACACAAAGTGTTCCATAGGTCGAACTATTTCACACAAAGTGTTCCATAGGTTGAACTATTTCACACAAAGTGTTCCATAGGTCGAACTATTTCACACAAAGTGTTCCATAGGTCGAACTATTTCACACAAAGTGTTCCATATTTCGAACTATCCTCGGTTCATTTTAAAAGGACCAACACAATTTGTTCCAATATTTTTTATTTATGCAGAAAGTGAATATCACGTTAGACTCCAAATCTTAATGAAATTTTAATCAAAAATTGTTTTTTTAAAGATCTTTACAAATTGAAAAGAACTAGTATTTTGAAATTTGAATTTTGAATTTGCTCATAACGTCATAATCAAGACTAGAGTAGTTACGAGGTCTCACACAGTCGACAGTTGTACCACTAATCTAGCATAAAAATGACCTCTAGTCCTTTTGTTCATTTAGAGTTTAAGGCGGGTCGGGTATAAGGGCGTTTAGAGGAAAGTTGGTAACGCCCCAATTGAATTATTTGATTTTATAAAGTGTTTAATGTTTGTTCCTTGAGAGTACACTTGTCTGGACAGGAGAGTATTTAATAATTGTATTATTGTCTTCAACTTTTGTAGCATTAAGCACTCCTTCGATTAACCAACCAACCTGAATCAAATAAGACATGATAATATCAAACAAATATTTCTATATATATTGCTTTACTGTTTGTATTCAATAAACGTCAAAACGGCTGAACCAATTAGAAATACTTTTGTGTGTTTATGTCAAAATTTCTCGTTTTATAGTATTTTTTTTTGAAAATCAAGAAAAAATTTTGGAAAAAATGATCTCATTGTAAGAATTATCACCTGTGGAATCAGAACAACATTCTTAATATCCGGCATCAGAAACATTGAGATAAAAACCCCTTCATCCCTCCCTCCTACATCCTTCTCACTTTCATTCCTCCCTTCTCTGTCCTTCTCAATTTTATTTTTTCCATCTCCGTTCTCTTCTTTTAAACCTGTTTCTTCTCTTTTCTCCTCTTCTACTTCTTCTTCTTCTTCTCGTTCTTCTACTTCTTCATCTATTTGTTCTTCTAGTTGCTCTTTGATTTCAAATTCTTTATTAAGAACATCTATCAAATATACTTGTTGTTCTAGAAGTGTATCGCCATAGGCTCGATGGATCTAAAAAAAAATTCAATTTTGAATTGTTAAAGTTTTCCTTGAAGTTAATCAGATAAATTATTATCAACATCAGACCAAAACTGTTTCAAAAATCAAATAGAATGATTTGATAAAAATCGTAATATAATTTTTTGTCAAATTGACTGATCCTTACTTAAAACTCAAGTTGTCTAATCTTTGTAACTTGAAAGCAATAACCAATTAATATGTTTCTAACAATAATGAATAAAGTTTAAAAAATTCAAAATCGAAGGTTTAAACAAGCAGGATGCAAGAATAAAGGACCTAATATAATTAGATTTTGAGTCGAGTAATCAGCTTTTTATTCAGTATCAATGATAAAAAATACCTTTATCATGTTGTCATAAACCATCCATTCTTTATAAACATTTCCATCTACATCTCCAGTTAGTAAATGTCTTCTGAAAATAATCTTTTAAAAATATCTAGAAAGGATATCTAGTTTCAAATTCTTTTTAGTCTTTTTTAGTTAGTCATAGAAAGTTTTAGTTAACGAGTTTTGTAGATTTACACATTTCCCCCCTCTGCTTTAGGTTTTATTTAGTTACATAGCTTTAGGGAACCCAGCTTTGCCTGAAAACAAAAATTTCTTTATTAAAGTCGCCAAAATGTTTATATTAAGCTAAGAACATTTTTGTGGTTATTCAGAGTTCCCAATCAAGATTAATGCAAAACGGTCAAGTGGTTCCTGAGTTATGATCAACTAACAAACAAACAGGCAGACACACAAAATTACCACTATTTAAATGATAGTAAGTATTTATATTACCTAAGAAACTGGTTCCGAAGTCCGTTATTCCTTCCTTTTCCCAGGTAAGACAGTGTCGTAAAACTTCCCAGACCCCCTGAACTTCGTCCTAAACACGTGCTCTAGCTAAATACATGTTCTAGAATTCAGACCTACTAGAATTCAGGTCTAAACACATGTTCTAGAATTTAGACCTAGACACGTGTTTTATAATTTAGACCCAAACACATGTTCTAAAATTTAGACATAAATACGTGTTCTAGAATTTAGACCTACTAGAATTTAGACTTAAACACATGTTCTAGAATTCAGGTCTAAACATGTGTTCTAGAATTCAGACATAAATACGTGTTCTAGAATTTAGACCTAAACACATGTTCTATAATTCAGGCCTATAAACGTGTTCTAGAATTCAGACCTAAACATGTGTTCTATAATTTAAACCTAGACACATGTTCTATAATTGAGGTCTAAACACATATTATAGAATTCAGATCTAAACACGCGTTTTGCGTGTTCTATAATTCAGACCTAAACACATGTTCTATAATTCAGGTCTAAACACGTGTTCTATAATTCAGGTCTAAACACGTGTTCTATAATTCAGGTCTAAACATGTGTTCTATAATTCAGGTTTAAACACGTGTTCTATAATTCAGGTTTAAACACTTGTTCCAGATTTCAGGTTTAAACATGTGTTCTATAATTCGACAGGTTTAAACACATGTTCTATAATTCAGGTCTAAACATGTTTTCTATAATTCAGGTTTAAACATGTGTTCTAGAATTAAGAAGCATGTTTTTCTTAAAAAAGATTTTTAAGTGTTTAGCATTTATTCTAAATCTCAACAAAAGAAAAAATTTAAACTTTTCAAAAAAATTAATACCACAATATATTTTTAACAAAGATGTCTCAAACGACTCAAACAATTAATTTTCCAAAAACAAAGTTTTCAATGTACGAAATACTTCCTGCATTAAAGTATTTAAAATTCATTTAATTATTGAAATGTTTAAAAGTATGAGCAAACACTTGACTTGCCTCCTTTATACCATGTTCACTTCAGCATGACATTGTCAACACTTTATCACTCAACACATTTATTGAGTGTCGCCTAAGCTGCACTCTGCAGTAGGTTGTTGTAATTTTTGAACACTTTCGACGAAAAAATATCGCAATTTTCGATGTAATTTGACCGCAGTTTCGCAAAATCTTGGTGAAATCTATATTTTGAAATCTATTGTTAGTATATCTACAAACTAAAGAAGTATATTTAAATGTTATTTACAGGTATTTAAACACATATAGGATTTAAACTGAAGATGAAAATTTAAAAAACAGACAAAACGACTTTATCAGAATGTATTACAATTATGATATTAGCTAAACTTAGTTTGGAAAATAATTTTTTTTTTTTGAGTAAAAAGCATAAAAATGTTCTGATATATATCGAAATTCGCGAAAAAGAAACTTTCGAAATATTGCGAAATTTAAATAAAGAAATTAATTGAAAATTTGAAAACCCTACTTTGCATGTTGCTACGGTTTACCATAAGCTCAATTTTTAAAACAGTCTTAAACCCATTCTCAGTTAAGAGGGTTGTAAGTATAATATATCTATAATCCTTAATGAGTTTTAAGGAATAAATGAGGTTGATGTTTGGGTTTCCATTGCAAAAATTTACAAGTAAACGAAGAGAACTTTTTTATGATTTGCTCTTTTTCTATAATTATGTGTATCCATGTTATTAAGTTTGTTAGATATCAAAATTGAAATAGAAAGTCGTCTTTATTGAATTAATATATAAGACGACGACTGTACAATATCTAATTATGCATTGTAATTTGTAATATGTTGTAATATAATTGTAAATGGGTTAATTTATACTAAACCTCACCCCTGGCACTAGCTCTTATATCTTCTGCTAGATGAACTGCATCTACAGCAAACCATCTTCGCTTTTTCAACTCCTTTATTCGAAACAATTCTAACTTATTTCCTTTGAAAACGTTATTTAGCAATTTTTTTCTGTATATTGGTTTTAATAAATGTTTAGTTTAATCTAAAATCTAAATACAGTCTTCGCAGTATGTATCAATACAATAAAGACAACTTTCTATTTCAATTAATATTTCCTCCAAGCTTTCAAACAAACAGAAACACTTAGACATTTAAACAAAGAGAAGTTGTCAACCAAAAGCTTTTCTTATTGTTTACTTGCAAACTTGTAATTTGAAAATTAATGTTTACGGATTTAAGTATTATCAATAAAAGTCATCTTTGTTGTATTGATATAATCGCCGACTACTTTAAAAGGATACAGAATGGCTCAAAAATTATAGCAATTTATCAGCGGTCCTTGAAAGTTGGAAAATAAGAATAAATGATTAAATTTTTTCAAAATATGAATTAAAAATCTGAGTTACAGGGTATACCCACAAAGAATGAGACTTCAAAAGACTATTGAACAGAATTTATACTGTCTGTTTCCTTATATTCATAATTCACTGAAATTGTAAATTTCTTTCTTTCTTTTAATATACAGTGAAACCCTTAATAACGAATACATGGGAAGAATTTATCAAATGTCGTCTTGACAATTTTTCAGTGATTTTATACTATATTACGTAAATTTCAGTAGTTGCGAAAATAAATAAATAGTCATGAATTTATGCGGGAACAGTTTTAAAGAGTTTCATATAATAATTTAATTAAAAAAACTAAATATCTGCAACATTCCATTATCAGAAAGTGAAGAATACGACATTTGATGAATTCTTTTGATGTATTCGTTATTAAGGGTTTCACTGTATTAGATTATATTTAAGGCAGAAGACATAGTTTAACCCCTGAATCGTCAAATTCCACGAGTTTTAGGTCGTCTTTACAGTCTCATCCTTTGTGGGTAACTCTGTATATTTTGATAATTTTTGGTTAGTTAAGAGTTACTCCCCTGGTTAACATGTGAAAGAGAGAGTAATTCTGGTATTTCATCATTACTCAGCATCAACACCTGTAACAGAAATATTTGATGAAGACGACATTACTGAGTACCAGAACCTACACATAAGTAAACATCACACTAAGACGACATTACTGAGTACCAGAACCTACACATGAGTAAACATTAACTAATATGACATTACTGAGTACCAGAACCTGCACATTAGTAAACATCAAACTAAGGCGACATTACTAAGTAACAGAACCTGCAAATGATTAAACATCAACTAATATGACATTACTAAGTAACAGAACCTACACATGAGTAAACATCAAACTAAGACGACATTAATGAGTAACAGAACCTGCGCATGAGTAAACTTCAAACTAAGACGACATTACTGAGTACCAGAACCTGCACATGATTAAACATCAACTAATATGACATTTCTGAGTACCAGAACCTGCACATGAGTAAACATCAACTAATATGACATTACTGAGTACCAGAACCTACACATGAGTAAACATTAAATTAAGGCGACATTACTAAGTAACAGAACCTGCACATGAGTAAACATAAACTAAGACGACATTAATGAGTAACAGAACCTGTACATGAGTAAACATCAAACTGAGACGACATTACTGAGTAACAGAACCTGCACATAATTAAACATCAACTAATATGACATTACTAAGTAACAGAACCTACACATGAGTAACATCAACTAATATGACATTACGGAGTACCAGAACCTACACATGAGTAAACATTTAATAAAGGCGACATTACTAAGTAACAGAACCTGCGCATGAGTAAACATAAACTAAGACGACATTAATGAGTAACAGAACCTGTACATGAGTAAACATCAAACTGAGACGACATTACTGAGTAACAAAACTCATAATACATTCCACTCCAAAAATAGGGGGTCACTTGAAATTACGTTTACAGTCCTTTTAATAATAAATAATATTCTTGTTACATGTGCCGTAGGATAAAGAGATATTAGACTACATGAACAGATAAAGGATTATCACCTGTACTGTAGGATGAAGGGATATGAGGCTGCCCAAACCACTGATAAAGGATTAGTACCTGTACTGTAGGATGAAGGGATATGAGGCTGCCCATACTACTGATAAAGGATTATCACCTGTGCTGTAGGATGAAGGGATATGAGGCTGCCCAAACTACTGATAGGGGATTATCACCTGTACTGTAGGATGAAGGGATATGAGGCTGCCCATACTACTGATAAAGGATTATCACCTGTGCTGTAGGATGAAGGGATATGAGGCTGCCCAAACTACTGATAGGGGATTATCACCTGTACTGTAGGATGGAGGGATATGAGGCTGCCCAAACTACTGATAAAGGATTATCACCTGTACTGTAGGATGAAGGGATATAAGGCTGCCCAAACTACTGATAAAGGATTATCACCTGTGCTGTAGGATAAAGGGATATAAGGCTACCCAAACTACAGATAAAGGATTATCACCTGTGCTGTAGGATAAAGGGATATAAGGCTACCCAAACTACTGATAAAGGATTATCACCTGTGTAGGATGAAGGGATATGAGGCTGCCCAAACTACCGATAAAGGATTATCACCTGTGCTGTAGGATGAAGGGATATAAGGCTGCCCATACTACTGATAATCTCAAAAGCATCACTCTTAGGATACTGGGAAGGGGTGTAGACAACAGGGTTTAGCAAACTGTAAAAAATAATCATTGTTAATTAAAGAATTTAAAACCTTTTTGCTGTAAAAAATACTTCTTTGGAGTTTGTTTAGTGTTTAAATGAAACCCTGCCTTCTGAGTTAAATAGAAAAACTTTATTTCTGTATAAAATGTGATAAAAAGATCATATTAATATAAATGAAAGGGATTATAGGCTAACGTCGAATCGAATTTAGTGGTGCTATTAATCTTACTTAAAAAAGGGTTAAAAAAACTATTTATACCAAAGAACGTAGGACCCATAGAAAGTTGCATTGACGGGCGGATTTTTGGTAATGTCAATTTGGTAATGACAATTTGATAATGAAAATTTGGTAATGACAATTTGGTAATGACAATTTGGTAATGACAATTTGGTAATGACAATTTGGTAATGACAATTTGGTAATGACAATTTGGTAATGACAATTTGGTAACGACAATTTGGTAATGAAAATATGGTAACTACAAAAAAGTGACAATTTGGTAATAAGATTTTGGTAACTACGAAAAAGTGACAATTTGTTGATAAAAGTTAAATTTAATTTAATTTAATGTTAAATAATTTGCTGTTTCTCACATTATTTAGGGTTAGGTTAGGTTAAGACAATTTCTGGGCCGAGCGCTGCGGCTAGGATGGGCTAGGGGGCCGAGCGCTGCGGCCTATTAAAAGTTTAATAATGTGCTGTTTCTCTCATTATTTAGGGTTAGGTTAGGTTAAGACAATTTCCGGGCCGAGCGCTGCGGCTAGGATGGGCATGGGGGCCGAGTGCTGCGGCCTATTAAATGTTAAATAATGTGCGGTCTCTCTCAATATTTTGGGTTAGGTTAGGTTAGGTTAAGACAATTTATGGGCCGAGAGCTGCGGCTAGGGTGGGCCGAGCGCTGCGGGCTATTAAATGTTAAATAATTTGCTGCTTCTCACATTATTTTGAGTTAGGTTAGGTTAAGCCAATTTCTGGGCCGAGCGCTGCGGCTAGGATGGGCTAGGGGCCAAGCACTGCATCCTCTTAAATGTTAAATGTTGATTATAAAAGGGACAGTTTGGTAACTACATATAAAAAGTAACATTAATAACTTCCTAACATTGACATACATAAAGTCCGTTCTTGTTGTAGTATTTGAATCCTAGAAGGGGTGATGAATAAGAAATTCATGATCCTTAAGTAGTCTCCTCTTCTTACAGTATATGACACAAGTGCAGGTTGAAACGTGTTTTTTAGAAAATATTGCGAATTTTACAATTATTTTTGGCGCATTTCTTTTGTGCAGAAATAAAAGATTCCTAGAATCAATTATCTTCAATTGAATATAAAACTAAAAATTAGACAATTTTACATAATGTCACTTTTATTTCGTTTACCAAATTGTCAACTTATGACGTTACCAAATTTTTATTACCAAATTGTCACTTTTTTGTTGTTACCAATTTGTCGTTACCAAATTGTCACTTTTGTGAGCTTACCAAATTGTCATTACCAAATTGTCGTTACCAAATTGTCACCTTACCAAATTGTCATTACCAAATTGTCATTACCAAATTGACATTACCAAAAATCCGCCCATCGTTGCATTATTTCACTCAGATTGGAAATAATTCAAATGAATTTAAAATGAAATATTCAGATATTGCAACCTATAATTGGCGAATTCAATTTGATGCATCGGTATTTAGCTAATATTTCATATTAACTTTTATTTTTTTTGTACACAATTTACTTTAAACGACGATTATTTGGCCGCTTGGCTTCTCTGCCCTTAACGTTTCAGGAGTGCGATTTGTAAAAAAATGTTAAAGGGAAACCGCGCTTTATGGACGACTAAAAACTAGCCTGATTCTGTTAAATGATTTGACAGCTTGTACAAAGCTATCGTAGAGGTCACTGGCGGGCTGGTCATCACGCATTACAGGGAGAACCTTAACTCCCTGAAGAATACAGTGAAAAAATTACAAAAAGCTTAAAAAGACATCTTTAAATTTTTTAATTCTAGTATAGTATAAATGATTAAACACAATTTCTCTAAAACATGAAGTTTTTAATTCACAACATGGACGGTATTGTTGATTGAATTTTTAAGTCTTTGCAAATTTGTTTAATCCTTAGATATCTTTGCACCTGATGGTTGAAACCTTTTATATTTCAAACTTAGATTGTTTAATCTAGCAGAAAATTCATAGTTCGAAATATCTAAGGTCTATAACATTGGGTTGCAAAGATAAAGGGATTGAAATAAGAGTTTGTTACAAAGACTCAATTCCTTTCACAAAGCTTTAAGTGATTCTGTTTTTGAAAAGGAAACGACTAATTCTAAGTTTTCATAATTAAATAACAAATGGAATAAACTAACCTCAGATTCTGGTTTGGATTGGTTTATCAGAGTAAGATAAGCTTCTGCTAGAAGATTAAGGTTTGGACTTTGTTTTATAACAGCAGCCTTTGACTTTTCACCTCGCCCTTTTATATACGGTGGTAGACGATTATATCAAAATAATGAAGACGACTTTTCCTAAAGCTTTTATTGTTTTAAAGATTTTTTAAGGATGACAAGCTTACAAGTAATTAAAAAAGCATTTTTAATCTTATAGCTTCTCTTTGTTAACATGTTTTTGTGCATCCATGCTGTTTAAAGATTAATTTAAATAAAAAGTCGACAGACGTCTTTGATTCATAATCATCCGGCACCGTAGTTAGAAATAAAATAATTATACAAGTTATTATTATATTATCTTTTGACTATTAAAGGGACTAAAGAAACAATTTCCAGTGGCAATGTCATATTTGCACTGGTACCCTTTAAACCTTAGGCTGATGAAGGTATTCAAGGATTTATCTACACACAAAAACACTTAAAGATGTAAGCAAATTGTTTACATCAGAAATATAAATATCTACTTTACAGAAGTAACAAATTTGTCTTTGTATTTTGGAAACCCCCGCTAGACTTATAGAATATTACTGATTTTTGAGAAATACAAATATACAGGGTACCAAAGATATTTTTGTTTTTCTATCTGAAAAATGAAATTTTTGATTTGTGGTTTCTCCATAAACGAATCAAATCTTGAGCTTACCAGATTTTAAGGGGTACCGTTGTAAATCGTACATTAACATGTCTTTTTGACATCTGTCAGCTCAGTTATTTTTAATGAATATTATTGTTATAATATATTTAAAATGATTTACCTGGTCTAAGATTATCGCAAATTAAGATACAATCAGTACAGTTCTCGGTTACTCTGCAGTTTTTATTTTATTTTAAAAATAAATTAATTATTTTCATTTTTCAAGTTTAGGTTAAATTTAATGTATTTTCCCCGCGCAAGTTAATTAAAATTATCTGTTAAACTGCATTTTCAAAAGAATATTCAAAAATGTCGTCGTTGTTGTTGTTTTATCAGTAATACAGAGTGTTCCAAAAAACATGGGAATTCAGAGACGAATTCGACATCGAATTTGTTATGAATTGTAATACCTAATTTCAAAAGCCATATTGTTATTTTATAAAGGGTAAAGGGTAAAAGACTGTAAAGATGTTTTTATAACAAGATGAACAGTGAAGACGGACAAGTTTACTCTGTTTGTATTCTGCAATTTTCTTGTTTTACTAATACACCCTTATGCAGTAAAAACAAAAACAAACAAAATGTGAACATAGCAGACAAAACAGATTACAGCTTTCTCAGTAGGTATCACTATACTAAATCAAAGAATTATCTAAAAAGACGATATTGAATTTGTCACTGAATTCCCATGTTTATTGGGACACCCTGTATAATACATAGTGTCCCACATCATATTGGATCGTGAATAGCATTAAGGGGTGATTTCCGGAAGTAATCACAAATTTTTTAAAAAAATGAATGAATCATTAAGTTTGGAAAAGGCTTATTCGAAAATTTGCTCTCAGAAAATACAAGACTCCGTTGGACGATGATATAGATGCATGACAGTTGGTGAATAGTTTAGAATGTCTTCTTCCATAATGTGTTAAGATGTTTGATACCAATGACAATAATAAAAATATTATTTGGGAGTCATTTTATAGTAAAATTGATTTCAAAGTAAAATATATTTAAACAAAAGATTTTTCTAACGAAATAAACTGCAAATAGCCTTTAATATCTAATACAGTATATGGAAGACGATATTCATAACTATTTATCGCTGTCATGTTTAGTGGGACACCCTGTAGATAAATAGATGTTACCGCCCATGCAATTTGGATCAGACGCTATCAAGATCAAAAATCAGTGCCCGATTCAAAGTGAAATATTTCTGAGGATTCAAATTTTTAAATCAGGATTTGAACCGGCAGTTGTTGGTTAAGCGACCTCTCCAATTCATTAAATACGGTCCCTTGATCCTAATATTTGAACTGGTCCTGTCAACTCCGGCGAGTCGAATAGAAAGGCTAAGCTTTCTTCTGGTTTTGTTTTCAATAGCCCTATTATTACATACAATGGTCAATGACTACAGGGTGGCCCAATAAACATGGGAATTCTGTGACGAATTCTATATCGTCTTTTTAAATAATTCTTTGATTTAGTATAGTCATACCTACTGAGAAAGCTGTAATCTGTAAGAGTTTCGTCTGCTATGTTCACATTTTGTTTGTTTATGTTTTGACTGCATAAGGAATTGTACTTGGTAAAACAAGAAAAAACAAACAGAGTAAACTTGTCCGTGTTCACTGTTCATCGTGCGGAAACATAAAAGACACATCTTTACAGTCTTTTACCCTTTTCAATTTCATAAAATAAACTCTAGCAGGCATAATAATATTATGGGTTTTTAACTTAGGTATTTCAATGCTAATTCAAACAAAGACGATATCCAATTCGTCACTGAATTTCCATGTTTTTTGGGACACCCTGTACCTTATTTATTTTTAACCTATTTCTGTAATCTGACATTTTTAGAAAAAAACGTTCGTTTTTAAATGCTCATATTTTTTCTAATAACTTAATATTTGATAACAAATTTCCAAAATAATTTCCTGTAAAGCTCTGGAGATATAACATCAATCAGAAATAACCTAAACAATTAATTTATCTCATTTTCTCAATTGCTGATCAGAAAAGTTCATGAAAACTAAAAAACAGTTTGAATCCAAAATTATAAAGAAACTCTTCTTTACCTCACTCCAGTCTTGTGCAATCTGATAAAACTGTCTTCATCTGTTTCATTTACAGATCTAAAACAAACTATTATAATACATTTCTTTATTACAGGGTGTCCCAATAAACATGGAAATTGAGGGACGACTTGAAACGCGTCTTTGATTTCTGATATTTAATGCATGGCAAAGAAAGTATAAAATCGAGGCTGAACGTTATACGGGCTTTTCATAAAGTAGGCTACCTTTCTTTTGTCTTAAAAATTGACGAAGATATTAGATACTCAGACATTTTTGATTAATTAAAGGGAGTGTTCGCGAAAAATGAAAGGGGGTATAGGTTTAATGCGATTAAAAAGCGGTTTTGATCGCTACTAATCTTACTTCTATCTGTTGCGTTTATAAGGAGAAAATTGTTAAAGACGTCTCATACCGAATAACTTAGCGCCCATACAAATTCAGAAAATTGCAACATACAACTTAGACCGTAAAAAATCAATTTAATTTCAAACAAATCATTCAGATATTACAACCTATGGTCATTGATTATCTTTCGCCACATTTGTATATAGTTGATTTTTCATAATATGTTTTAATTGTTATGATCTGAGAGTTACTTATAAAAACATTTATTCCTGTTTCGAGGATATTTGGTAATGAAGACGATATTTTTATATTTTCTCGGAATTAACAGATAGAAGTAAGATTAGTAGCAATCAAAAGCGCTTTTTTATCGCATTAAGCCTATACCCCCTTTCATTTTTCGCGAACACTCCCTTTAAATAAATTGGAATTTGTACACATTTTACAATATCTCTGTCAATTTTGAAGATAAAAAAAGTAGACCACATATTAAAAACCTAAAACCCTGGCATTTTTTAAATTAGATATTTGAACTAGAATGTTGCAATAATTGTGTTCAATGAAAAAATGCCGTATGGATCTAAGACGATTCAAAAGTCGTCACTTAATTCCCATATTTATTGGGACACCCTGTACAATATTCCGGGTTCAAAACTTGTGTGTGAAATAGCGCTAATCTTCGACGCTTAATCTCGTTATCCACTGAGACAAATTCTAAATGTGATAGATTACTCAGTTTTAGTTATTCCTACATGGTACTAACACCACGAGATCTCCATTCGTAACCATAGATCTAGACGTGATATGAAAACTTGCATCAATATTTTAAACTGGTTCGACGCCTTGGCCTTTGATTTACCTTAATAATTTCATTGCGTTAAAAAGCTTGCAAATTTTGGATTACTGTTGAGGACTGTACAACTAACAAATTTGATCACGGGATTTGCAACAAAAATGTTTAACTTCAATAGTTAATTTATCCTAACAAAACCATTTTTATGAACCTTTCCCCCATGTCCCCTTTCATTTTTAACTTTTAAGAAACCCCCCCCCATACACACACAATTATACCTTAGCTTGAGCCTGATAGCACCTGGCGGGGATAACACTGCTTGCCCGGCAGCTATTTCTATATCTCTATAATAATTAGAAACATTTATGCACATTTGAATTAATCTTTATTTAAAGAGGCTGTTTTCGTAAATTTAAGTCATCCTCAGATAACACAACTTTAATCAGATCAATGTGAAAATTGGCTTATTCGGGTACCGTTGTGAATTGAACATTCAACTTTTTTTAAATAAGTGTCATTTTAAACTACGTGTTACGGTCCCTTTAAGATTGCCATCAATACTACCATTAAATCTTGAATTTCATTTTCTGGAGAACTTCTAAACTATATGAGAGGAAATTGTTATTTTTTTAACTTTCCAGACTAAAAAAGTTAGCTAAACATTACAAAGACACCAAATAATATAATTATTCTTAACAGTACTCACGTTATTGCAGTACCCGCAGCGGATATGTACCGTGTACCAAGTGTAGTCTCTGGATTGTACAGTAGTCCAACTGGTAACTCTTCTGTAATAACACAATTATTGTTTTCATGGGGGAATAAAATTCTTTGTTGCAATATAGATAGATATCTAAATAAAGCGGTTTAGCAAATTCAAACTTATTTTTAATAAGTCAAATTCCTAGATAATAATGTATCTAATAATCTAGCTGTTTAAGTACCAATTAGTCATTGTGCTGTTTTAAATTTTCTAATGTCCAATGTTTTCAACATAGTAGTCGTAAACACCTTTTGCATCAAATTTTTTTAATGCATAGTGTAGGGTTGAGGACGGTGTCTTAAAAAAAAGAAATGGTTAATAACTTTTTTATTAATTAAGCAACAGCAATACTCCCTTAAACCCTTGTAACCATTGAAGTTAGAGGTCTAATTTTTTTTTATGAAAACTTGGACTAGGGATATGTGCAAAATCATAGGGGGGGGGGGGTTGGAAAACACCCCCCCCCTATCTTTATTAGACAAAAATAGCCCGATCGGGATAGGGTTAAAGATATATGTGTCTTTAATACTTACGTGTAGTATATCCGATCAGCTGATTGCTGACCAGTAGAACCAGAACAGCTGCGAGTACGAGAAAGAAAGCTGCGATCAACAGAAAACAAAATCGTGGATTTCCCTCCTTTTTCCCGCGGTTACCACGTGATGAACCAGCCGCCATCTTATCTTTTTGGATTTAAAAATAACTAATATATTTGATTACACATTTAAATAATCCAGATTCGAGCAGATTCTATGATGCAATTTTTCATACTTAAGAAATCTAGAAATATAATACAGCACTGAAAAAATTCACTTGCAATAGATAATTTTACAACCATGTTATTCAATTAATAACTTCACTCACTCTCTCTCGTAGTTTGTTAAAAAAATATAGGGTTGAATCCCTGTGGCAATTGATAAACTAAATACTATTCGGAATCAACATGAATGGGGGAGGGGGGCTACCCCCATTGCATTTGCCTTTACATTTGCATCATTCGTAATTGGATACGGGACAATCATTTATAACACATTTCATTCTCTAAACTCTGATAAACTGTTGTTTAAGATTAACGATATTTGTATTATAAAAAGATTTTAAAAAAGAAAGAACTGTGTCTAGGGATGTTAACATTTTCATTTTTTTAAAAAACAATCGTTTCGTTATGAAAACGACGACGAAAAATCGAATTCGAAGCGAACATTTTTTTTAAAAAGTTCGTTTTTTAAAAACAATCGTTTTTTATGAAACTCGTCGTTTCGTTCACGTTCGTTCACGACGACCCTTTGTTTACTAAGAGAGGAAACCAACCTCTGGGCATCTGTTCTTATCATTGAGTAGTTTTTAAGAAAATATCAAGAAGTTTTAGCTCCACCACAACTGTTTAACTTCATGTAAGACGACATGCATTAAAGTTGCATGTATTTTTTTCTTCAAAAACGATCGTTTTCCCAAAAACGACCGTTTTTATACAGTTCGTCGTTTTTTTCTAATGATCGTTAACACAATTGTTAATAAAACGTTTTTTTTTAACGATCGTTTTTGAAAACGATTGAAAAACGAAACAAAAAACGATCGTTTTCAAAAACGATAAAAAACCCTTACTGTGCCTTTTGATCACTTAAAAAAATACCGCTTTTATTCACGGCCCTCTTTTCGTATTGCAGGGATATTCACAAAGGATTAGACTTCAAATGCTAATTTGACAGTCAAGGTTATTTAACTTTAAAAGCTCGTCTTCCTATTTCAGAGTTATATTTCTGGTTATTACCAAAGAGAATAGAATATAATTTGTATAATCTGTGAACTTTTACATGAATTGTACACTTTGAACTACCTTTCAGGCTGATAGGGACTGACAAAATGCATAGCAAGGGAATGTTTAAATTCCCCTCTTATATATTCTATTCTCTTTGGTTATTACTGTTTATTAAAATATTTCTTAATATAACCGGGGAAAAGAATCAATATCCGAGTTGAACTGTTCAGCCACTGTGTTTGTTAATACAACTGATAAGAAGGTTCAAGTTGACCGTTTGACCCTTGGTTCAGGCTGNGAATAGGAGTAAAGCGGAAGGGGGGGGGGGTCAATGAGGGGAGTGGGTGAATTATTATTAACTTACCCAGAAATGATGAGAAATCAAAGACGACTGTACGGAATTTTTAAGACTGTTTTTTACATTCTAAATTCTATATAGCTCTTTTCTTCTTCTTTAAACGTTCTTACCACAGAGATCTGAAACTTGTGTTTGTCCATAAGTTGTCAAGACTGGGTTGACTTTGAAGTGTCAGAACGCCTTGGTCTTTAATTTTAGTGGAAAAAATAATTAAACATTTTAGTAAATTTGGACAAATACATTTTATAACTGCAGCGAGCATATTCTGTTTAAAATGAGTTTTCCATATTTAACTATATTTCATGGGCAGAATCCATGCAGTGCACAGTGATCAAAAGGTTGCAGGGCTAAAGTAAAAATTGTTGAGAATTATACCAATTAATTCTGAAAACAAGAGCTATAATGGCTTTATAGTTCTCAAATCTACATGTCTAGAACTACAAAAAGTACCAGTGAGTTTGTGAGGTAAAAATTAAAAGTCAGGAAAAAGTTACTTATGAGAAAATTACCTATACAAAGTGTACTATACAAAATGTTATATATGAGAATGATACTATACATATATGTATACCTTTACTGCAACTTAATGACACAACTTCTTCTTTATGTTCAACTCAATTCAAACTGCCCATGAAGTTTTAAACACCTTGATCATTTATTTCATTTCAGCATATAATGGCAGCAAAAGAGGAGAAATTAAAGAAGTGCATTTGGTACGCAATCTTCATAGCATTAGTTGTAGTCACCGCAACTCAGCTGATGCTCCTGTGTGATGGGTGGGAAGAGAGACCATTTGAAACTGTAATTGAAAATGTTCCGAAACAGAGAATCCCATATCCAAGTGTTACTGTTTGCCCAGCAGGTACAGAGTTTTCAAACAAAAAACAGAAATCCAAAAAGGTCAAGGAAAAGGTAAAATCGCATAAGTTATCCCAGAATATTGCATATTGTGGAATGTGGGTTTAGTACAACTGAGAAATTGAAGTTTTAGATAATTAATAAAGGGAAAATAGAATAAGCCTTTCTTGAATTCAAAACAAAGTATGGTGTGGTAGGGCTCCCAAAAGTTCTATTAACAAGTTGAAAATAAACAGAAATTTTATTAATGAAAAACATTGTCTTAGACAGCAAAGAAGTTTCTTTATACCCATACTTATATATTTGGTGTAAGGTACTTTCTTAAAGGAATTTTCCAAAGGGCGACTTCCCAAGTAACAATCTCCCAAGTGGCAAATTCCCAAATGGGCAATTTCCCAAGTGGCAACTTCCAAAAGGTTAGGTTAGACCCTCTGAGGCGCCTCAGGCTTCTATGGGGGTCGATCGATGCGGCTAAGATGGGCTAAGGGGCAGAGCGCCGTGGCTAGATAAGGCTGGGGGCCTAGCACTGCAGCTAGGACAGACTTGTGAAGTTGGGAAACTGCACATTTGGGAAGTTAGCATTTGGGAAAATACCCTTGGGAAGTTGCCACTTGGGAAAAATCCTTACCTAGTAAACCCAATTATTGAAATGACAATTATAATTCTGTGGCATTAAGGCCTGAAATATTTTTGTGATTCCAAAGTTGTTAAGATTAAGAATCATGTCTTTCAGGTTCAACTATTTGGTCTGGGGTGCAACAATTTCTGAATGAAATGGAATTTAAAGATGAATATAGAGACATGTTGAAACAATCTTATAACATGCTTCTAAGGTGATGTAGCCTTTAAATACATAACAATCATGGAAACAAGAATCATAAAAGAAAAAAAATCCAATATGAGTTTTTTTTCAATTCAAGCAATTTTTCCAACTTTGTGTTGCTTCTGGCCTGAAAAAAATAGCATAATCCTGTTTCTATTTGATCTTCTAATATGAATTTGCCTAGCATCAAATGATAGATAAGTTCCTCTTTCCTAGATAGAGATGTTAGCGTTTGACTTTTAAAATCTTGTTCGATCATTGTTTGTGAATGACCCATTTTGTTAACTTTTTTCAATCGTTCGAAAAAATTGAATTAAATCATTCACAAAATTATCCTTTATTTTCCATCTATTTCATTCGTTTTCTCGCAAAATTATCGTTCAGTAAAATTGTTTGTTCAGTAAAATTATTTGTCAGGTAAAATCGTTTGTTCAGTTAAAAAACGGTAGTTTTTTCAAAAGTTTGTTAAAAAAAATTGTTATGTACGAAAAAACCGTAGTTTTTTTTAAAAGTTTGATCAAAAAATCTTAGGTAAGATACATAATTTTAACACTCTGCTTGTTACAAAATATGAAAATTTTTTAAGGTTGAAATTGGTTTTCCTAAGAGTAATGCCTGAAAGAGAAAATCCATATTTTCAAACCTATCAAGACTGTGAAAATTTGAATAATTACCTCATGAATAGGTAAGAATTTTATAGACAAATGCAGTTAAAATGTCTTTATAAATGTACTTTTAAATATTTAGTGAGGCCTGCAATTTTGCAATGTATGTCATAGAAATGACCAGTAGAATGATTAGTGAGGATGTACTCATCAACCGAACCCTGTCTAAATATCAGAAGAATAGACTGAATGTTCGATATGAAGAAATTGAAGATGTAGGTTGCGCTGGAGAAGGGTTTGCTTGTAAACTAAGTTTTAATCTCCAGTATCCAGAATCTATGCCTGATTATAGCTGGCTATCTAGTTACCTAGATCTACTAACAGTGGAAATAGTTGAAAGTGGAGTATCTGAAAACCCATTTGATAAAGTTTTCAAGGTTTGTATTTCTTTCCTTTATATAATGGGTATATGAAATACAGTTATTCATAGAAAAGTAGTAATTATTTGAGAAGTAAGATCAAATTCACAGTTTTTCTGACAAAGGACTGAGGACTGTATTTAATGAATTTGAAATCTATAACCGGGTAACCACATGTCTTGAATTGGCGATTTTCTTTTCTTTTATTATCAAGTTTATAATTTGGATGCAGATGAATAGATACTTTGGTCACAGATTTATCAAAAAATGAGACAAAGTTAAACTATGTAGGCGTACATAACTTTTTTTCTTGCCTTCTGATCAAAGTTGTAGGAAACACAATTTTGCCATTTCTAGTTATTTATGAAAGGATTTGAGTCTTTGCCACAAGCTCAAATTTTCTATTTCCAATTTCTTTGCAATCTAATGGTGTAACTCTTTGATATTTCAAACTTAGATCATTTGATCCAACAGAATTTAATTTAAAGTTTAAATTACCTAAGGTCTACAACTTTGGGTTGCAAAGAAATGGGGATTAGAAAATCATAGTTTGTGGCAAAGACTCAGTTCCTTTGGCCTTAGTGGATTACTTTTAATGAAATTATATTCATAATATCTATTAGGAAATATATCTGCCTTCTTCTGTTACTTCTCCAGATTCATCTGAGTGTACATGGTGTAAATATGAACAAGAGATCCCAACCACTTCAGATAATCTAGTCTGGGAAATTATTAGAAATCAAAACTTTACCTTTAGCTTACCCCCACCTAATAACATTGAGGTGAATATGATTTTTAAAAGAATTAACAATATTGAAAATAGAATTTAAAGATGCATATTTTAGTCTTATGTATTATCACCTAATGACAGCCTATGGCCTTTACTATCAGAAAAGTTTAAAGAATTATTGATGCTTTCCAAGTTGCAGTTTCAGAACTTCAACAATCTTGGAGATTTTCTTGTTCCCTTAGCAAAACAATATTTATACAATGATAACAATCTGGGTTATCTTACTCACCAGTTGATTGAAAACACAGAAAAAGAATTACAAGATTTCTTCAGATTAATTCTTCAAGAAATAACTGGAGAATATGAGTTGTCCTGGAGTTTAATAGATGCTGTTGATATTCTGGTAATTCTAGGTAGGTCTTCTTTTCCTCTGAATTTGATTTAAAGAATTCATACTCATATTTATATTCATAGGTGGATATCAAGTTATTAGAAACAGAGTTTTTGAACATCAAAATATTTTTGCTGGACAAAACAGTTGGCTAAGTCTGACCAAAACTGAGAAACAATGTGTATCTGTTGAATATGAGAAGCTTTTTAACAATCTACCTGAGTTTGAGGACCCATGCATTGACCCATCCAGCATGTGCAAGCAATTCTGTAAGAATATGGGACTAATGCAAAAACATGCAAAAGATGAGAAAATACAAAAGTTGTTGCGCTATGTCTCCCATCCAGCTAAATATTCTAAGAACAGCACCTGGACTGTGCCATTTTGTTTCACAGGAAATGAACAAGAGAAGTTTACACAATTGATAAAGAAACCAAATGTAAATACTGGATCTAATGAAACCAACTATGGATACAAATTCTGTGAATCTGTTGAACAAAGTTTCACAGATGTAGGTTTATGCACAACTTTCCATGATGTCCATGCAATCTATCCTCCAAATGGAATGACTAAACTTTTTGACAATGGGATAGCCTTGATTTTGGATTCTTTTGCAGATTTTAGTGTTACAGAAGAACTAAGAACCTTCAGAGATAATTCTATTATAGTTGATCGAATGACCCTTAACTTCCCTGAAACTTTAACGGATGACAACTTTAATAATTTTCATATCGTTCTTCATTCCAGTAATGATGTTCCTCTTTTTCAAGGACCTGTAGACAACAAAATTTCTTTGATAAATGGTGAAGATTTTAATACTAATTATTTGAGAGAATATAGGGTTCCTTTTACTGTAAAAATAACAGAGACTGAGCAGTTCTTAGAAAAATACAGTATTACAAAGCGCAAGTGTAGGTTTAAGCATGAACTTGGAGAAATGAAATTATTCCAAAAATATACCAAACAAAATTGCATCTTTGAATGTAAACTAGAGATGGTAAGGAAGAAGTGTAACTGTTTACCCTGGTATCTGGACCTCAAGAAACAAACTGAACCTGTGTGTAACCTATTTGGGAATAAATGCTATGAACAGAGCACCATACAGGCAAACCGATTTCTTGACTTCAGTAATCCATACAGTCCATCCTGTGATTGCTTTCCAGATTGTGAGGTAGGTATACAAACTTGAGAAAAACAAGCAATTTCATTATATTGCCACTGGCAATTGTCATAAATACAAATGATTTTAAATCTTTATTATTTAGTTTCTTATTCTAACAGACATTACAACCTCTGATAGCTTTAAGCAAACTCTAAGAAAATATGACTTTCTCTTGAAAGAAATGGAAAAAAACAAATAGATTATCAAGTACAATAGGTGGCAACAGAGAAATGGATCAATTATACACGATGTCACAAGTGTCAAATATAACAAGGAAAACAATTAATTTTCTCACATTATTTGACATGTTTTTCAAGATTAAATAAAAAGTGTAAAAACGGAAAATAAATAACACATAAAATTGCACCTTTTTCACTGTAAGATAAGCTCTTTATTCCAAAATTATCACTAATATCAATAATTTTGTCGGACACAATCTGAGTTAACACTTGTGATGTAAGAATACAGCTGTACTGAGAGTGTACAAATACTATGTTGCCATCTATTGTACTTATCAATATATTTGGAAAAAGTAACATTTATTACCCTGTTTCCTGCTCTGTGGGTTCTGTCTGAATTTTTTTTTTGCCAAATTTATTTAAATATTAACAACAAGAGTTTGAATTGATTAAAAAACTGAATCAGACATTCAAATGCCATTTTTTAGGGTGTGAGCTATATTCCGATTTCTGCGACAAAAACACTAACAGCGTTGGAGAATAGAAACATTTTAGATCTTGAACCTAAAAACAGGTTCAATTCATGGGAAGATGAAGCAATGGTTATCCAGCAAAACCAGAAGAAATTTCTATTTGAATATGTTGTAGACGCACCGAAAGGTAAATAGGATAGCAAATAAAGTTTTGCATATTGATTTTTTGTAAAATTTGTATGTGACTATTCTCTTTTGTTTAACTCATCAGCAAACATGTTTAGGAGATAGAAGCCAGATATTTTACAGATCCAACATGACAGCAGATATAGACAACCTGGATTCTAAAAGAGTCTGTAGAGAAAGTCTTATAAACTGTTTAATTAGGGATAGGGCCCTCAATCTTGCATCAGTTTGGTTGGATTTTCAGGACAACTTTTTTATCAAGTAAATTAATCAATATTTGCAGTTTTGCATGTTTAAGTATAAATAAAAACAAATCTGACGAATTGACTGTTTTTCAGTAAACAATAGATATTGACAAAATGGGTCCCAGAATTACAGCTGGAAAAACGCTGAGTTTAGTTATGCATCTTGTATCCTACAGGGGATGCTGGAAGCATAGATTAAAACAAAACTTCATCTTCAGCTTGGTGCACTGAAAGAGGAGTTTAACCCCTCGTGGGAATACAAGCCATGCACAACGATACCGGTTTTTTACTCGACCAGATGTGAGGACTGGACTGCCAAGGAAGATACCTCTCAAGAGAGCTTTCAGGAATCACAACTCACCATTTTGCATAAGGGGTGCAGTTATGGGTAATTTCCTTAATTCCCCTAACTGGGAAACAGTATAAAATGAGGGAACACAGGGAGAAATCCCCTATACCCTTCTTTCTACAAACCTCCTTATCTCTCTCCTACCTGCTCCACAACTCGATGTTAATAGAACTATTTGGAGAGCCTTAAAGTGTAAAAACAAGAAACAAGAAGCAAGAAGAAAAAAAAATTGAACAGAAAAAAATGGATGGGAAATCTCTTGACAGTAGAGATGGGTGCTTAAAGCAAGATAATCAAGAAAGAAGAAGAAAACTTTGAACAGGAAAAATTAGAAGGGGATTTGAGCTTTACGCTACTATTTATTGTTTTTCACTGAGTGCGAATAAAGACAAATACACAGGATGGCAGACGTCCCATCCCCCCCTCTATGTCCTACTCGAGATAAAAAACTGGAAAATATGTAAAATGCCCCCCTCACCCCTCTCCCCCCCATTAAAGAAAATTTTATTGGAAGTGTGTTATAGCTAGGAATGCAAGAGCTGACTTAGTAACATGACTAAAGCAAAATTTAAAAACAAACAAGGGAGAGAGTAACCTTGCCATTCTCAAAATATAGAATATAGATACAGGGCTCCAAAAAATAGTTCTGCCTCTGCAATTTGGCTAGCTGCAGAAAACATCCAAAAAATTCATTTATTTTTATTTTCAAAATTAGCCAAAGTATGATTGAAGGATGGACAAGGAATGGAGGATCAAGAAGAAAGAATGAAAAACAAGAAATATAGAATGTTTCCATCTGATATCATATTAAAATTTAAAAATATTGTAAAATTTAATTAAAATAAATTATTAAAGTTAAAAATCTATTGACAAAATGGTAGACAAAAATGATTTACAATATTTGATTTTTCATAGGGAGAAACTGATTGACAGAGTTCCACTTGGAGATAGGATTTCAGCCATTGGAGGAACTCTTGGTAACTTTTAAAAATTTAATAGTTGAGAATATTAAAAGCTGATTTTAAGTTGTCATAATACATACAATTTTATGTCCTAATAGATAAAAAATCTTTTTACGAAAAGTTGAACATTTATATACATTTACATTTCTTTTTCATTCACAATTTAAAACTTCTGAAATTAGAATGTTACATGTTGCATATTGACCTATTTTTTGGCACGATCCAAGAATAACATATGCCTGGAGGAAAATATGAAAAAAAAGACAATTTTTATCGACTGCTTGAGTTTACAGTAATTCATAGGCAACCAACAATAACTCTATAAATATTTTTGAAATTAACTTGTGTAAATTAAATCTTTAATAAATATGCATAAAGAGCAAAACGTCCTCAACTGAGAAATTTTTGGACAGGGTAACACCAACCAATGGGTGCACCAGTGCAATACAATATTTGTACTATTTGCTAATATTTTCAAGGTTTGTTTCTCGGTTTTTCATTCCTTGGACTTGTTGATGTAATTTACTGGATGGTTAAACCACTTGGATACTGGGTCATCAGAAAGAGAAACTAATTGAAAAAGTGTGGAAAATCAGGTCTATATTTATTCATAACATTGTCTCCTTATCATGGCACTCAAAGAAACTTGGTTATGATTACTTTAAAGTGTTAACAGTGAAGAATGTTTCACAGCAGTTTCACTATTAAAAATAGATTAACTTAAGCCTGTTAATTTTGACTCTGATTCAATCTTAAGCGTAATTTACTTAAGTTTAATGTGAAAAAGCTTGAATCTTGAATTCTAAAGATCCTTTTAATGATTCGAAATTGGGAAAATACAGAGTGTCCCATATTATATTGGATTATCTCCAAGCTTTTGACGCCAAAATATGCAAAAATTACTTAAAAAACCTAGTATTATATGCAAGAAATATTTATATTTACCTTATAGATTTTTTTTAATGATTGATTCTTTTTGAATTTTCTTTTAAGTCCCTAAATTCTCAATTTAGAGCTATTGACGATCTAATATGATGATGGACATGGTAGTTTAGCTTTATAATAGCAAAATCTTATTTCTTGTACAGGGTGTCCCAAAAAACATGGGAATTCAGTGACAAATTTTTATAGATATCGTCTTTGTTATGAATTAGCATTGTAATACCTAATTTCAAAAGCCATAATATTATTATGTCTGCTAGAGTTTATTTTATGAAAAGGGTAAAAGACTGTAAAGATGTGTCTATAATGTCTCCGCAAGATGGACAGTGAAGACGGACAAGTTTACTCTGTTTGTACTGCAATTTTCTTGTTTTACTAATTACAAACGTATGCACTCAGCAGTCAAAACATAAACAAACAACATGTGAACATAGCAGACGAAACTCTAACAGATTACAGCTTTCTCAGTAGGTATCACTATAGTAAACCAAAGAATTATTTAAAAAGACGATATCGAATTTGTCACTGAATTCCCATGTTTTTTGGGACACCCTGTATGTTATGTGCTAAAATGTTGAAAATTGATTTAACGTATTTAATCCTTTAATGCAAAGTAAACCACATCTTAAATTCACACATATATGTAATAAATATCATTTTATTAATTTATTGATTTTATTTAGATTGAACAGACTATTTAAAGGAAAAATTCTCTATATGTATTAAAAAAGTAAAAAAGCTTGTAAAAGAAAATAAATGTAATATTCTAAATTATACTCTTTGAGTGATGAAATTAGACCCAAGAAAATGTTATGTTAGTTCATTTTAATAACATGATATTATAATTAGTTTGGGACCCTGTAGGTGAGTTTATTCAGCATCAACCTTAAACATTTTAGAATTACACTGTTTTTTTAAAGACATTTGCTGTATAAACAATTCGGAAGGATGCCTTTTGTTTAAATGGAAAAAAATAAATAGTAATTAAAGGGAGTGTTCGCGAAAAATGAAAGGGGGTATAGGCTTAATGCGATAAAAAAGCGCTTTTGATCGCTTCTATAATCTTACTTGTATCTGTTGCGTCTATAAGGAGAAAATTGTTAAAAACGACTAATACCGAAAAACGTAGTATTCATACAAATTCAGAAAGAAGCAACATACGACTTAGACCGTAAAAAAATCTATTTAATTGAAATTAAATAGATTTTTTTACGGTCTGAATTTGTATGGATACTACGTTCTTCGGTATTAGTCGTTTTTAACAATTTTCTCCTTACAGACGACGCAACAGATAGAAGTAAGATTAGAAGCGATCAAAAGCGCTTTTTTATCGCATTAAGCCTATACCCCCTTTCATTTTTCGCAAACACTCCCTTTAATCCCGAATCATTATCTAAAACTTATGAAATTTTACCCATGATTATTTCGAAGTAAACAAATTATCTCTTTAGAGAGAATAGAATGGAATGGTATTTGACTAAGGTGTATTTAGTGAGTACAGAGATAAGAGAGTTACAGAGATTGATTATCAGCTAAAATATGCGATATTTTCCACAGCATGTTCTATTGTGTACAAGTACTGTACACGACCAATCAGGATTCTGTATTCAGGGATATTTAAAGATCCTTTGGATACGAATCACAAATAGACTGAATTCATTATGTTTCATGTTTAAAATTGGAGTATTTCTTTCAAAGTTGCAAAACTTAACCCCTGAATGGGTATTATATGCAACAAGTGGCCGTGAGATGTCACTCTAAAAACCTATCTTAAAAAAGTAGCATGTCTTGCTTAGTCAACTTAGTCCTATCTAGCCCACCCTGTGAAAGGAGATAAGCAGTCTTTGCAGTTTTTGGTGAGGACTGACAGACATACATAATACCAGTGAACAGGAAGACTAAGTGAACAATGAATTATTGTAAAAATTTCAAATAGGTTTGATTTTTTAACAAGATTTGGTACTTTGGTCAAATCGATCAAAACATTAGGGTTTATGGTAATCTGGTGGTGCAATTTAGGAAATATGATTTGAAGTTTTGAATTTTTTAAATTATTACATTCTTATTATAAACATTTACACATTTTATCACAGCTAGAGGAATAGACCTCACTGAAAACATGACAATCTGAAGGTTGAATTTTCTATTTTTATTTCAGCTAAACGATTTGACAAATATTAAACAACCTATCAGATGGATTGAACCATCACTGCGTGCTAGCATAATTAAACTTTGTACAACAGCCTCTAAAGTTTCATCCATTGCAAGTAATCCTGTAAATCCCAGTTTTTTTAATAGGCCATTGTACATATCAGTATTCATGAAATCTGTACAGTGTTTCCAATAAAAGATGAAACTTTAGGAGTTTGTAACGTACTTTCCCAGAGATTAATGGTTTCCTTATAATATTGATACTAAACAATTGATTCTGCAATAAAAGGGAGTGACTTGCAATGTTTGGTAGTTGAACTAAGAATGTAGTATTGTGGAGAATTATTTTAGAAATCATTTGAGACCTATAAGACGTTTTTACGGTTCATATTTGTTCAGCAAGAGCGCTAATTCAATCTTTAAAATTCTTATAGATTGGTCATTTTTGAGAGATGATTTTGAGAATCGGTTTTTAAAAAATTATTCAATAACGACGACGAAAAATGTGGTAAAAATTCGACAGTAAATTAATTAGTTATTTAGGAACAGGTTCAGAAAAATAAATTAAATTTTATCATTGAAAATATGTAATCTGATTCAGTTATTGGTTTCTGTAATGTCTCATTGTTAACAAGCATTTTCTGTAAATTTCCTGGAATTTTTATTATAAAGACGACATTGGAAGAATTTTTAGAAATCTGCAAACAAATTCATAAAGCATAAGAAATTCAATATTATGATGAAAAAGAAATAAATGATTCTAATAATGATTTATAAAGAAAATTTCAATTGAGACATATGTTCCTAAACATCTAATTTGTTTACTGTAGAATTCTTTTTACATTTTTTGTCGTCGTTATTTAATAATTCTAAAAAAATCTATTTTAAAAATGTAACCACCCAAATAGATGATTGTTAGCGTCAACTTTGCGCTCAAACTCAGTAATTATAAATCATTAAAACGTTTTATATGTCTCAAATAAATCCTAAAATTTTTTTCAACACTACTACATTCAAAGTTCAACTACCTTTAAACAATGTCTTTAAGAATATCTTTATTAGGAAAAGCTTTATTTGATTTCCTGTGTTGTTTTGTCGGGCTTATACTTTACTAATTTCTGTACAATTCTGTTGAAAAAAATGCTTAGTTGAAAGAATATATTAAAATTGCTATAATTCTTGCAAATTGAAAATAAAACTGATTTTTTTTTTAATCCTATATCAAGACATTACTCATACTTGCAAGGAAGCCATTAAAAGATTTAATAGTAACTCTGTCATGTATTTATAAATTGGTCAAAGAAAACAGAGAAGATTTGAAGTTGACCCATTCATGCCGGATGCCGAAGATACTGAACCAGGCTTCTCGGAAGTTGAAGTTTACTAAAAAATATCAAGCTATAAGACCGAAATTAAGTCTTTGTTGCAAAATAAAATTGTCTAATCCAATTTTTTTTAGATTCTGATAGTGCAAACTTTTCATATTTCAAATTTATTATTAGATCTAACATTGGGTTACAAAGATAAAGGGATTAGAAAGTTCAAGTTTGTGACAAAGGCTTAATTCCTTTGAGACAATTAAAAAGAAAAAACTTCAGAATAAAATTAGCTATAAAAAACCAACTGTTATGGAAATTACAAAGGGATATATTTTCTTGAAAACTCTAAAATATGGAATGTTTTGCAGATATGAGAACTTGATATGGATATCGAAATCAATGATTGATGCTTGATCTAGATATTTTGTTAATCTACAGATTAATTCAATCTTTATTTGATAAACTATATTAATCGTACCATATGGGAATAACTCAAATCAAGAGATCAATCATTGATTTCCAAATAAAAAGCGATCACAGTTGATATTGAGCTTAAGAGGTCGGGATTAAGGGTATCCAACACAAAAATTGTGCTAAAAAGGACTGTAATGAAAAAATTAAAGGGGTATAGGTTGAAACCTGAGCATTTCATTGGTTGATTGAGACCTATATAGAGCAATATCAAATGTTCCTGTCTCGAGAAATTAAAATAAAACTGTGTGAAAATTATATTAAAACTTTTAAATGTAAAATTTGGTATACGATTCTAAGTTTTAAACAGATCATATTCAGCAAATACGCAACCAATTTGAAAAGAACAATATCCCAGAGCAGCTTGAAAAACTCAGGTGTGTTCCTATTCTTATTTGAGCTTAATAATTTTTCATTTTTAATAGAAATAATTGATAATATAATATATGCGTCCGTATCATGTGACCAGAACTCCCACCAATAGCAGTGCAGTTTCATTTTACGTGTCTCCGTCTGTATCACGTGTTTTTTTACCTAAACAGAAAGCTTGGATTTCCCCCCCGGACATCTGCCAGTAGATGCTTTAGAACTGCCTGTCTGCTCAAGTATCTGCAGAAAAAATTAAAGTGCACATGGACTAAGCATTTAAAGTAGTTGTATATATTGGGTTTACAGTTAGACTAATTTGACATTTACTTTAGGTCTACGAATTCATGTTTATAGGTTAGGGTAACACATGGACATTTTTTTTTGGCTAGTTCTTAAGTAACCTAATCTGAGTTCGTGATAACCAGAAAATTGTAGGATTGGAAGACGACATTAAATCAGTACTGAAGTGCATTTACTGTTGTTACAGAAAAAAAAGCTTTATTATGTAATCTATTAAATTACTTATTAAGTAAAATTGGTCTATTTACACTGCAGAGTTACAGTGTCTCATGCTACACTGTTAGAAAAACCCGCTTACAATCAACAGTATTTAGTTCACGCACCAAGCCATGATGATCCTTTTTAATATATCAACGATAATTCTGCTTGATATTAATTTACGGCCTGTACGCTAAATTCTAATTACATTCACTTGAATTCTACTTACTTCAATCATCAGAAATCGAAGCAAGCATAATCCTGCTTACTTTAATTACAGTGATCCGGCGTTCAGACACGTACCGGCACTCAATTCAATCAGAATACTACTTGGATTCTGCATTAACCAGAATTCTGCTTACTTCAATTAAAATTTGACTCTCTTCAAGTAAATTCTAAGAGATATCAATAATGTATGCATTTAAAGCATCTTAAATAATACTGACATTGCTTTCTCTCAATTCTCATTTAAAAATTTGATGTGATTCTAATTTTACTTATATCAACTAGTGTTTAGGCTAATTCAAGTAAAATAATTCTGACCAGAAAACATCAAATTTCAAACGATATATCAATGAATGTCTTCTATATACTGGTTATATTGGCCTGAAATATGATGATATCGAAAATTTACAAAATGGCATTTCTAACAGTGTAATTGTACTATTTACAGTCATATCTTGAGTCTAAAAGTCGACTTCTTATACAAGCAATTTCTGTTTGTCACTGCAACATATGTGAAATTCAAGAACAATTCCAAAAAACAAGTTTACAGAGCTTGATGGATTAAAAGGGAATTTAAAAAAAAGATTATTCTTATTGTTTACCTTAAAGAACTGCGAAGAGGTTTTGTCCTGTGGGAAATTTCAAAAATACTTTTACAAAAAATAAAGTAAACATCTATATATGCATTAAAAGAGTTTATTTAAATTATTTAGAAATTATCTATAAAAAGTCTAAATTCATGACTTAAGCTAAAGAACATTTTTGAAATAAGTTTTAATATTCAGGGCAAAAAATGTAATATTGACCAAAAATCTCAAAATAGAAATAATTAGTGAAAAATTTTAAAATTAAAACTATAAAAAATTCAATTCTGGCAAATTAGAAATAAAATGTAAACAATTTTAAAATTAAAACTATAAAATTGTTCAGTTCTGGCAAATTTAAAATAATATGTGAAAAATTTTATAACTAATACTATTAAGTAGTTCAATTCTTGCAAAATAGAAATAATATGTAAAAAATTTTAAATTAAAACTACAAAATAGTTCAATTCGGGCAAAATGATGTTTAATAGTTACTAACATTTTTTCAAAGTTTACAATTTTTTGTGTAATTTTTAAAAACTTTTTTGATATTTTTCCTGAAAATTTCCATAATTGTAATAAGTTTTTTCTCTGGGTGCTTATTAAGAACCTTAACAGGTATTATATATATACAGGGTGTCCCATATCATGTTAGATCGTTTTTAGCTCTAAATTGCAACTTTCGGAATCAATTAGAAAATTAAAAAAGAATGAATCCTTTTTAAAAATTTCTATAAGGGATAATTTAAAATGTGTGTGCAGAAAATACTAGGGTTATTGTGTATTAAGGATTTCAACCTCTTTTTTTAGGAGAAAGTAAGGATTATAAAACCCTTAAAAAGGTCGTTTTTGATTTATTTTTTTTGAATTTTTCTTTTTTCATGATACAAATTCTGCATAAGGGGAGGAGAGCAAATGTATAGAAAATTATTTTTGAAATTGGTTAATTTTTTCTTTGTGTGGAAAATAAAAAAGTCCAAACTCATCAAAAGTTAAAAAAAAAATTTAATTTTATCACTTCATATTATTTAACATCTTTACAGACAATGAGCAGTGCTGTTATGAGTCATGAATCATGATGCATGAGCTAGATTAGTTTTTAGGATGGTTATAAACATAACGAATACTTATTTATTTAAATCTATTTAGTTTTTTTATGACATTCTTGATCCCTAGGTCATGTGAAGCGCTTTAGTTAAATATGTAACTTTTAAAAAATGCATTCTTTAGTATATTATTATAATATACTAAATAATGCATTAATTATTATTATCGTTGTAATCATCACCTCCCAATCTTTAGCTGTTACAGACAAACCAGATTCAACCAGTAAACTACAAACCTTTTCAAATCAATTTCAATAATCTTTATGTTACATAATTGAGTTTTTGCCAAAAACTTATTTGTTCAAATTCCTCTATCTTTTCAACCTGATGGTTGTAAACCTTTGATATTTCAAACTTAGATTATGATCTAAAAGATACAAGGTTTGAAATATCAAAGGTTGCAAAGATTGAACTATTATAGTTGTGGCTAAAGCTCATTCATCAATAAATTAGTAATCTGTCTTTCTGTTTCTTTCCAATCGTAAACCAAACCAAACTCCTAAGCCGATTTGCCTTAAAAATTTTTAGTTGAGCTGGTTAACTTTTATAAAGAAAAACTTTGTTTCTAGGCAAAGCAGGGTTCCACAAATTTATTGTTGTTATCTGTCTATAAATTTGGCTTGTCTGTCTGTTTGTCTGTCTGTCTGTTTGTATCCAATAAACGTCAAAACGGCTAAACCGATCGGGCCCAAATTTTTTGTGGGACATCTAAGGACCCCAGGGAAGGTTTATGAATGATCAAAATTTCAAATATTTGTCTTCATCAAAATTCGATCTTCATTAAATTTTTGAAAATTTTGAAAATCCACGAATTTTTTTGTGAATTATTTTTGTTTTGTTTTACGATGTACACAAAGAGAACATGTTCACAATTAATTTAGAAGATGGGCGCGAAGCGCCCTTTATGGCTAGTTTTTTAAAATTTCTTGAAAAAAGCAGGCATATATTTCAGCGAAAAAAAGCTCGGATTATTTTTAGTAATTGTAATTTGTGATCATGTGAAGCGCCCTGGAAATGCCTGTCTCTTGTTTAACTGTATAAATAAATCTAAAATCAATTAATCAAACCTCAAGATAAGTGATAAGATCAGTGTGATCAGCTGCCAACCCCAGACAGGATTTACCTTAACATCAATCGATTAATCATTTTGATAAATCAAAAAAAAATTGGCAAACCAGAAATCCATAAAAAAAACTATTGGTTTTAGAAATCGGGCCTTTTTTTCTATGATAGGAACTCTTGTGTTGTTAAAAAGCAAAAAATAATATATATAATATATATAATACATATATATATATATATATAATAAATTATATTATTCTTGTTATTAAGTTTATTCCTTTTGGAGATCTGGTCAGAACTGATGATCGGAAATTCTATTTTCGAATGTCGGCCACTGAGAGACAACAAAAATACGACTAGCGTATTTTTAAGCACTTTAAAATATATATTTCATGTAGAGTTACCCACAACGGATGAGAATTAAGAGCTGATTGTACGGATTTTTACTTTCTTTTCCTTAATTTCATGATTCTCTGCAACTTAACCCTATTCCTGCTGGGGTAACTTAATATATAAACTTTCCCTTTTCTTTTCTAAATAATTTAATTAGCCATGAAGAGACTATATTCAAGGCAAAATACTTTATTTTTTATAGGGATCGTCAAATTTTAAGAGTTTCAGGTCGTCTTTATTGTCTAATCCTTGTTTGCTTTCTTTGCCAAATCATAAAATAAGCCATAAAATACAATGACTGTATAATTAACCTTAAATCGTCTTACAAAGAAAGATTCATGTCGTTCTTACAGTTTCATTGTTTGTGGGTAACAAGCTGTAAATAAAAAAATGGAGCAGTATTGTACTTGAACCTGAAGTATTTGTAGTAGCTGTATTAGACCCAGCAGCCAACAGCAGCTTTACACCAGAAAAACTTCCCTATAAGAAACCAGAGACAAAGGTACTTTTCGGACTTTTGAAAACAAAAAAACTAAAGCAATTTGTACAGATGGATCTGTTTTAATCATTCATGACGCATTTTACGCATCTGGAAACAATCGAATGTTTGATAAATATAGATTTTTCAGGTGTTTTATGGCAAAGCACTGGCTCATTTCTAGTTTCATTTTTACAAAATTCTTTTATTTTAGATATGTAATATTTTATATTTTTTTACAAATCATATATTCCATTGAAGTACAAGACACGTAAAAAAGATAAGTAATAGAGAAAAAAAACGGTTGTGATTTTGAGTTTTGGATTTTGATGAGCCAGCTGTGAGCCATGAAGATCCGGGAGCTGCCGACAATAGAAGTGTTGATTTGTTCGAGCCGATTCTGACCATCTGTAGGACTGAGTCCTTGTCGCTATTTACTTACTAATAGTATTCATACAAAACGATTTAAGAGAGAGAATTGTGAATTTTTGGAGCCAGAACTTTTGTGTATCTTTAAACAAACTGTAAAATGAGAAAATGTTCTTACAGTTTTTCTTTCAGTATATCAAATTTTCACCCTTACAGGAAATATGTGCAAAAAAAGAAGGTGTTAAAACAATCGGTTTTCAGTTCATTTTGACATTTTTTAGGATTAAAATATTCTAAACTTTAAAAGAATACGGTTTGGAAAAGTTGGAAGTTTTATTAAGAACGATAAGAAATACAAATACAGGGTTACCCACAAACAATGAGACGTTAAAGATATGACAAGTATAGGTTGATTTATGTCTTCAGCCTTGAAAAATTGTCTTTAAATGGCTTATTCAATGATTTTGCAAGAGTTGAAATTTCGTATAGTCGTCTGATAAGTCTCATCCTCTTGAGTGGGTTGCACTGTATCTATTCTGCGTAAAACCTGCATAGCCGAGTACATGAGTGCTGTATTTTGCTGTAAACCAGTTTTATTTATATCTGTGTACTGCAGAGATAACAACACCGTCATAACTTCAATCTAAAAGAATTTTTTTTACATTTCTCGGGATTTTTAAAGAATTTTTTTGCACAGGGTTACCCATAAAGGATAGTACTATGAGGACGACCTGAAACTCTTTAAATTTGACGATTCCGAGGTTGAATAAGGTCGGCTGCCTTGATTACAATTTTTTATGACTGTTTAATGAAAAAAGAAATAAGTTCACAGCTTTAGTAAATCATAAATAAAAGTCATACAATCGTCTCTGAAGTCTCGTCCTTATTGGATAAACATGTACTTTCCCCTGTACACTAGTATTTTCATGAACAATCCTTGACAACCGTTCTCTGGGTAAAATCTCTTTTAAATTGTCCCGAAAAAAAATCCTTTAGTACCCTGCTGATCGTTATACCGAACATTTTGTACGAAATTATGATCAGAGTTTTAGAATATCTTAAAAATTTTATTCCTAACATTCTGAACCTTATTTGGACCGAGATCTTAAAACGGGAAGTTTCCCAAATAAATCCCGTCAACTAAACCTAACATATGCCACATAACTTTCACTAGGTGATCATTCGTTTGACGTACCGTCCCGGTTTGTCTTATAATGTTTGTTATTGTACTGTACAGCTTGCTCTAGCGGGTCAAAAGTCGGCCCGGTACTTGAAATAAACCCGAGTTAACAGAGTGATGCAACCAGGTAGAAACCTCCTGCCTAAATAGCTTGGAACATACAATTCAAAATGTCTACCTGCTTGAATATCTATTAACAATTCATATTTTATCTGTGACTAAACCTGATTTGACATGGCAGCAAGCATAAGGCCGGTAGCTCCGTTTTCACCTTTTTTGTTCACGTCCTAAAAAGTATTAAATACAGTGTGTCCCAAAACGACTTTTTAGACATCATAGCAGTTACCGTGGTTCAATGTTTTGTGAATTCAAAGCTATAGTTGTAAGTAGTTGTAACATCATAAAATGGTAACTTTACTAAATAAGTTTGCACTTGCCGTACATCAACATCTAAAAAATTATGCTTTTCTAAATAAAATTGCATTGGATCTACTAACCACTCCTTTCTCTATAAGATGGACAACCCTCTCCGTGTTCCCCATGGTGCAGGCTTCCAAGAAATTCATCAGATCACTCGGAGCATGCATTAATCGATGTTCCAGCCTGCATAAAATCAAAACAGTTCAGAGCAAAAAAAAATTAAGCTAATTTTTTTTTAGAATAATAATAATACTAATAATATTAATAATAATAATAATAAAAGTAATATTCTTATACCTTTGGTTAAATGTGTGTAGAGTCATTTGTTTTCTCTGAAAGTGGAAGGTTTTGTTTTTATCTAAATAATTCAGGATAAACTAAAACAAACTCATCTTTTAAAAGTAGAATTACAATTTCTAATTTAAAAAGTAATAATAAATTGCGTACGTCTGCTATAATTTATGTTTGAAAACGGTAAAAGATGTTCCTGAGACAAACATCATTAACAATTTAGATTTTGAAATTGTTACTAAATTCCCATGTTTTTGGGACATCTTGTATATAGTCCAGTTTTATGAAATATATTCTCACAAATATTATTCCGGTCAAACAAGGGTCAAGCTGTACACTAAACCGTACACAAAGCAAAGCTTTCAATAAAAGAAAGCTTTGTAGAAATTTACAAGACTTGAGCTTTAACAAGAATTTTGTGACAACTCTTGTATCCACAGAACAGAGATTAGAATAGAAGGGAAATTAGGTGAACAGAACAGAGATTAGAATAGAAGGGAAATAAGCCTATCCCGCGGTATGAATTTGTTCAGTCCCTTTAAGTCTGAAAAGGAGTTCAAAGTGTACAACTCATGTTTATGTTCACAAATTATACGCAGTACATCCAAGGAGTATAGAAGGGAAATACAACTGGCGCGGTCCGCCCTACCATATGATTATACATGCTTTGCAAACGGTACTTCATTTGTAAAAGAAATATTTGTCTGATGTACAATTACCGCGTATACAATAATCTATTCTGAATATTTCTCATAAAAATGGAGTACTGTCTGCAAAGCATGCAAAATCATATGGTTGGCGAGCACCGTCAGTTGTATCTCCCTTTTATTTCATACTCCTTGAGTACATCACAATAATACATTATGATTCCTGGACATATCCGTTACAATTTCTTCTTATGCTAAAATGAACTCGGAAATGAAAAGTAAAGCTTATGCTCAGGGGCGGATACGGGGGGGGGACATTCGCCCCCCCCCCCTGATATTTAGAGGCAAAAAATGTTCCCAATTTGATGAATCGTATGTGTTTTTCAATTTCAAGCTATTTGCTTATTTGTTATTTAATGGATATATATTAATTAATATTTATTGAAAATTGAATCATCAGAAGAACGAAAAAAAATATTTTTCTAGCTTGTTAAAAATAAATATAACCAACGATGTAAGTATGCGACGACATTGTGTTTTGTTATATTGGTGTTAATTCTCGGCACACTGCACATCTTGACTTTCTTTTCTTCAGTTTAATTTAAAAATCAACGACAAAAGTAAATGTTATTGTTAACGATAAATTTAGAATTAGAATCCCCTCACTAAAATCCTGTGTCCGCCCCTGCTTATGCTGAAATGAACTCGGGAATGCAGGACAGGTTGTCAGAGTATTGATTTAGACAAAATTAAATAATTTTCAAGAAAGTTTTTTCTATAAAAAGATGTTCCTTGAGCCTAAAAGGTTACATAGCACACAAGTTTTAAGTTCACCTTCAGTATGGAAACATTACAACAGAATGACGGTCTTACACTTTTTTCGACTTAATTCCACTCTATACTTATCTATTCTATTTGCTTGTATCACGCCTTGCAGTTTGCATATAATCCATGCAGTTAAAACATTTAAAATAAAAATTTTCCGACATTTTCAAAATGTTGTTTGGAATTTTCGTAAAATTTAATTTACAGAAATGATTCTCTAAAAAACTACGTCCTTTGATTTTTCCCTTGAAAAATACCTTTTAGTTCATGTTCAGACTTCAGTAATGAATTCATGCACAACTACATATATACATTCATACTGAACAGTGCACACCTACATATATACATTACAAATTACACAACTAGTTACATATATACATTACAAATTACACAACTAGTTACATATATACATTACAAATTACACAACTAGTTACATAGATGCATTACAAATTACACAACTAGTTACATTTATACATTACAAATTACAGAACTAGTTACATATATACATTACAAATTTCACAACTAGTTACATTTATACATTACAAATTACACAACTAGTTACGTATATACATTACAAATTACACAACTAGTTACATATATACATTACAAATTACACAACTAGTTACATATATACATTACAAATTACAATTGTTGTCACTTTATCATATCCTAAGCCTGATATTGCAATTTAAACAATTGTATAAAACATAGATCAAGACTAAGTTGTCATTGACACTGTTAAGACTCAAGCTATGAGATAAGTTGCGATTAATTTTACGCAGAGTTGAGTTTATCGAACCTGAGCTGGAAACTTTTGTGTTCAATTCTCATAATCGTTTGTTCTGGATATCCACTGTGAGCACTTTCAATTTGAGGATCGTTGCTTAAGGTCTACATTTCAGTTATCCCTCAGTGTAAGATTAACATGCGGTATATCGAAAAAAAGATTAAATTAAAATGCAGATTAACAAAAGATGGAGATGAATCATCGATCTCTAAATCCACAATAATAAGAGTTGTAGCTTGGTTAAATATTGTTTGCGGGGGAGTTTCATGGTTTGTTTTCCTGAATTCAAATAAATTCAATGAGACTAATTTTGATCTGGCTTAACGTTGTAAGTCAAGTCTAAGGGCTGGCAGCTGTCGATCACTTGACACCAGCGGCTGTCAGATAATTCAAAAGATGGGTGTAAGATGAATTAATGAATTAAAACTCAAGCATTTAAATCTTGGGCTCAGAACTCACCAGTCACCAGACTCGTCACAAAGTCAATAAATTTTAGAATATTAACTGTGACAAAAAAATTTATATGTCATATAAAATATATTTTTTTATTATTATAATTAGTATAATTTATTTTACAATTAAATCACTTTTACAATTTTATGTTATTTATCTAATACACTTTTTTGTCAAATTAATCTTTGAAGCTCTTCAAAACTTATTCATGGTTTAGATGTTATAACTTTTGACTTCAGAGCTCAACAGTTCCCCCGTAGACGTGAGTTTTAAGATAATAAGTACTTTCCCAAAGGCATTTTCCCAAGGGCAACTTCCCAAGTATCAATTTCCCAAGTGGCAACTTCCAAAATGTCAAAATGGAAAATACCCTTGGGAAGTTGCCGAAGCTTGGAAAAATGCTTTTGGGAAAGTACCTAACATTAGTTTTAATGCATTAAACCCCTCAATTTATAACTTTACGAGTTCAGTTCCTACACTGCGCTTTTTAAAGTTATTTTAAAGTCGTTTCTCATTCATTTCGATTTTTGTTATTTAGTATTTACTTCATAGTATGGTATTTTGTAAAAAAAATCTTATTTGCAGCTTTTCGAATATTCTTATGTTTTTTATTTTGCTGAAGGTGCAAAGCTACTTTATGTTCAAAATTATCAAATGTTTTGGACATTGTTGACCTTTGACACCACGGTCTTAAGGTGAAGGCATATTTTGCACTAAATACTTTTACAATTTTAATTCAGTTGAATGACAGTGTAATTAGAATAGGTTAAGCTGGATGACATCTCATGTAGGTAAACTGAATGACATCTCAAGTAGGTCAACTAGATGACATCTCATGTAGGTCAACTGGATGACAACCAATGTAGGTCAATTGGATGACATCTCATGTAGGTCAACAAACCATGTATGTAAACTAGATAAAATCTCATGTAGGTCAACTGGATGACAACTCATGTAGGTCAACTGGATGACATCTCATGAAGGTCAACTGGATGACAACCCATGCATGCCAACTAGATGACATTTCATGTAGGTCAACTGGATGACAACCCATGTAGGTCAACTGCATGACATCTCATGTAGGTTAACTGGATGACATCTCATGTAGGTCAACTAGATGACATCTCATGAAGGTCAACTGGATGACAACCCATGTATGTCAACTAGATGACATCTCATGACGGTCAACTGGATGGCAAACCATGTAGATCAACTGGATGACAACCCATGTAGATCAACTGGATGACATCTCATGGAGGTCAACTGGATGACATCTCATGAAGGTCAGCTGGATGACAACCCATGCAGGTCAACTAGATGACATCTCATGAAGGTCAACTGGATGACAACCCATGTAGATTAAATGGATGACAACCCATGTAGATCAACTGGATGACATCTCATGTAGGTCAACTGGATGACATCTCATGTAGGTCAATTGGATGACATGTGTAGGTCAACTGGATGACATTTCATGAAGATCAGCTGGATGACAACCCATGAAGGTCAACTGGATGACAACCCATGTAGGTCTACTGGATGACATCTCATGTAGGTCAACTGGATGACATGTGTAGGTCAACTGGAGGGCAACCCATGTAGGTCAACTCCTTCCTCACAGCTTTCAAAGACGTCATCATACCCATCCGATCCAAGCTGTGTATCCTCCTAGATTAATAGGATTGTTAACAAGACTAAAGGTGATCCTTAACTGTACAAGTTACATGAAGGATGATAGAAATTAATTTGTAAGTTTACAATCAATTGAAAACTTAAACATTTATCTGAAATAAAATATTTCTTTGTTTTTCATATATTTTTGTTTAAAGATGTTTTTTTACACTATATAACTAATATAAATTTTTACTTTTCATGAGTCGCAGAAAAATAGATATTTTCCTTCGTATTTTCCACATATTTGGGATTTTTAATACATGTTTGTCAAGCCAGATGTGTTCACACTGTACACAAGCGTACTTTTCCCGGCAATTTGAACATTATTTTACAGAAAACACACGGATTTCGCCGCATTCGTCGATAAGTGAAAGGTGTAAAGGGTTCGGTTCCAAAACGGGCAGTTCCTTGTTTGCATAGATGTCACTTGAAGTTACGCTTACAGTCCCTTTAATGCGAAGAGCCTGTTCTACAGTGAGAATCAGAAAACAATGGAATTCTTGTCGTTTTTTATTTTTATCTTAAAGCGTCGCTCAGTTCGCATTTATCATTTGCAACAAAGCTATTTCTTAAACAGTGTTCTGAACATTCTTAGAGATACATATCAGTCACAACATTTGCAAATTACAAAACTTTTCTTAAGTTGAACAAAGGCGACATTTAATCCATATTTATCTGGTTCTTGCTGTTTTTGTGGATACTTGATTAAAAATCCACTATAGTTTCAGTAGAAGTAAATATTTCCATTTTCTGCTAGCGCCGATGGAAGGATTCATAACTCTGATTTGATAATGAGAAAGATAGAAAGATAGATGTTACCGCCATACTTTTTCTATTGGTTCAGAATAGACAACAAATACATGGCTGAACCCTAATTGGATCAGGCGCTAATGGACTCGGCATACAGGAGTGAATGAGGTCAATCATAACTTAAATAATACCAAAATAGTTTTACATACTTTTTCAGTATTTCTTGCAGTTTTTACAAGCTTCAGATTTTCTCCTTGAAGTAAGGTTTCAATAAGATGGAGTTTAAACCTTCGTCCTCCAAACTTACACATATGGTTCACAACATCTACACTCTAGAAACAAAATTAAAGCTTTAAAAAAAATTGAATTGATCCCGGGATAAAACATATTATATTGATCCCGGGATAAAACATATTATATTGATTCTGGGATAAAACATATTATATTGATCCTGGGATAAAACATATTATATTGATCCTGGGATAAAACATATTATATTGATCCCGGGATAAAACATATTATATTGATCCTGGGATAAAATATATTATATTGATCCCGGGATAAAATATATTATATTGATCCCGGGATGAAACATATTATATTGACCCTGGGATAAAACATATTATATTGATCCTGGGATAAAATATATTATATTGACCCTGGGATAAAACATATTATATTGGCCCTGGGATAAAACATACTATATTGATCCTGGGATAAAATATATTTTATTGACCCTGGGATAAAACATATTATATTGATCCCGGGATAAAACATATTATATTGACCCTGGGATAAAACATATTATATTGATCCTGGGATAAAACATATTATATTGATCCTGGGATAAAACATATTATATTGGCCCTGGGATAAAACATACTATATTGATCCTGGGATAAAATATATTATATTGACCCTAGAATAAAACATATTATATTGATCCTGGGATAAATTGACCCTAGAATAAAACATATTATATTGATCCTGGGATAAATCATATTATATTGATCCTGGGATAAAATATATTATATTGATCCTGGGATAAAACATATTATATTGATCCTGGGATAAAACATATTATATTGATCCTGGGATAAAACATATTATATTGATCCTGGGATAAAACATATTATATTGATCCTGGGATAAAACGAAAGTTTTCAAATTAAAAAGGAACCGAGCCTTTGCCGCAAACTGTGCTTTCTAATCCCTATATCTTTGCAACCCGAGGCAGAATTTAAAGAATTTGAGCGGCGGCTTAAATTTGAGACGCGGCTCAAATTAAAATTGTATTCAATGTTTCAAGATTTAAGCAGGCACTCAATTGAAACAGGTTTTGGCGGATTTGAGACGCGGCTCAATTTTTCATTAAATTTGGACTCCGATGTCCATTAACTTAAATATTTCAAATTATGAATTATTTTTTTAAGATCTAGAAATTATGAATTCTGTTAGATAAAAAATTCTAAGTTTGAAAAATTAAAATGTACGTAATCAGGTTGCAAAGATATAGGGTTTAGAATAGTTGGCTTTGTGTCAAAGACTCAGTTCCTTTGCGCTAACAAAAATATTACTTTTGCTTAATTTCTAACTAGCATTTGTTGACAATTTTTATGTTTATTTCCCAGAAAAGGTTTATGAAAGCGGTAAGATAGTATTGTTATATGAATGTTCATGAGTTTAGTAACCTAAATTCAAACAGAGTTAAAATAACACACAAAGAAAGTTTGAAATAGAAAATTCTGAAGAAAAACGGTTCAACTTTCAATTCAATACTAAAGATAAAAACTGTAGTAGGTTAGGGGTACGGTACCTTGACATATTAAACATCAATTTATGCATCAAGAAGTTTCGGAGATTTTGTTAATTTGTTTAAAATACAGATTTTCTCTAAATCGCTTAAAAAGAACTAGCTGGAGGGCCCGGCGTTGCCCGTGAAAAAGAACTTGAGGAAAAAATTCTAATTTGTTTAGCCTATATGTTTCGGTAAGATAAAGCCGGAAATTATTTCTATGAAAAGAAACCACGATTTAAAACAATCAATTTTCAAGTCACAATATGAACGAAGCAAAATTTGGTTACATATTTTCTCTTCTTTTACATATCTCTTCAATAAGAGAAGTTATAATTGAAAACATATTATATTAATATGTCAATTCTATGTTTAGTTTGAAGTGTGACGTGTGAAATCTATATTCATACTTTGCTCATCTGTTTGTTTGTATCCAATAAACGTCAAAACGGCTAAATCGGTCGATCCCAAAATGTTTTGGGACCTCACATGACCCCAGCTAGGGGAGGTTTATGGATGCTCAAAATATCGAAAATGTGTCTTTCGAAAATCAACGAAAAAATATGTTGCAGTACCTGATATCCTGAAATATGTTGTAGTACCTGATATCCTGAAATATGTTGTAGTACCTGATATCCTGAAATATGTTGTAGTACCTGATATCCTGAAATATGTTGTAGTACCTGATATCCCTAAATATGTTGTAGTACCTGATATCCTGAAATATGTTGTAGTACCTGATATCCTGAAATATTGATCACTGTTTCAGCAATCTCTGATGAATCCATAGCAGCCAGGGATTCAACTACAACCGCTGCACGGTCACGTGGTGAAGCATCTTCCATCAACCCTCGTCTAGCACTCTCACGTGCCTACTCAAAATTAAAAATTAAAACATTTCGGTGTCCGAATTTAATGAATTTAAGCCATGTCTAAATTCCCCTAAGACCGGTTTTAATTGACCGCCGGCTTAAATCTTGAAAAATTTAATACAAATTTAAGTGGAACCAACCATATTTGAGCCGCGGCTTAAATTAAAACCGCGGCTTAAATTCTTTAAATTCTGCCTCAGGTTGCATGATGTCCTAAACATTCTGAATTTGTGGCTCGCACCGACTCAACGTCAAAAGGTCTTGTTAACAAAAATTGCACGTGTTTTTTGGTATATTGGTCTATCGGACAATATATTTCGGCGAGTAAATCCAAAAGAGAAAAATGGGAAATATCTTATATGTGTCATTCATTTGACTTTAAAAGGTGTTTTTCATCGCCCTCATTATGCTGATCTTTCATGTGCTTTTGAACATGCAATATAATGTTTTTCTCCCCCATTTTTTTCAAAAACTATTATTGAATTATGCACGACATTAAGGGTAAATACAAGTTATAATTTGAATAAGAAACTATACACATTTGCCTTTCAATATTTCTGCAGTTAAAATTTGTTAAACTTTTTCTTTTTGACTTGCATAATCCGGCTGTGTTTTGATAAATGTAATTAATTGTGATTGCCTGAAAAGTAAAACAGGGTGTCACTTGATAAATTACGAAATTTAAAAAATCCTTATATTTAACAAAAGATCATCTCATTTGACCGTCATTCAACTTTTGCTGCCAAAAAGATATTTTTTGTCGCTTAATTTTGGGCGCGATCTGCAACTATATCTACAACTATATCTGCAACTATATCTGCAACTATATCTGCAACTATGTCTGCAACTATATCTGCAACTATGTCTGCAACTTTATGTGCAACTTTATCAGCAACTATATCTGCAACTATATCTGCAACTATATCTGCAACTATATCTGCAACTATATCTGCAGCTATATCTGCAACTATATTTTTTATTTTGTTATTTAGAGTGCAGCCACTTTGCAAAATCATATAATTGAAACTATTGTAAAATCAATCAATGTTTCGTGAGAAATCTCTTTACCTGAGGGTCGATGACACCCATTAGTTCCCTGATCTTGGTCCCTGACATCATGGATAGCTGCTGGGCAACCATCTCATCAACTATATTCTGGGATAGTTCGTTGAACAACAGTAGGCCTGCATCGGAATTCACTTTATATGCTCACGAGCCTCCCAGATTTGCTTTGCAGACCGAGCCTCTGCCATGCAGTAAGAGCCTCTATTATGCAGTAAACGAGCCTCCGCTAAACAGAATAGAATTCTTAAAACTCTCGGTTTATCAAAGATCAGAAGCATTTATCAGTTATTATAAATAGTGACTTATCATGACCAGTAAAGTGGTTTATAAAACGTGAAACATTTTTTACGCAAAAGGGAAAACATTTAGAGAAAAAATTCTAAAAGCAATTTTATATGATATTTTATAATCTTTGAGTTAAATTTTTATCAGATTAAGATAACAAATAAAATTGACATTGACAAAAAATCTGAATCTAAAAAATTCCCCCCAAAAAGCATTGCTAAAATCAAAGATTAAAACAAAATAAACTAAGTTCAATACAGAAATAAATTTCCAAATAGCCTCTTTACTGCGAAAGAAATTTTTTATTGTAAAACATAAATCTCTTGTGCTAAATAAGTTGAAAAAAGTGAGACAAAAAAATCTATTTCTCGTGTCTGCATTGCGGAGGCTCATGGCGTCCGGGGGTTCCCTCCCTACTCAAACAAGTGTTGTTAATCGTTTTTGTTCATCTTTAAAAACTTTTATCAAAACTTTCAAGATTTCAAAACTAAATTAAAAACTGTGCAGCCGCCGGATCAGGGAAATCTTTGTTTTATTTGGGGGTTTCGGTCCCCATCGGTTTCTAAGCCCCCTTGAAATAAAAAAGTCCCCTGGGCATATTACTGTGCACGCCCTTGGGAAGGTTCATAAGGCATATGCTAATGAAATACTGAACTTCATGCCAAATGCATTTTTGAGCAACTGAAAACTTATCAAGGAGTTTTTGGCCGTGAAAACATCCGAAAAATAAATATGTATCAAAAGTAAATAATAATCCTAGTTGCAAAATTAACTTTTTGAAAATTTTTGGTCACACTGTATGTGTAATATTTTAGAGAACAAAGTCATTTCTGTGAACAAAGAATTAAAAAGGGTGAAATATTGAAAATGTGTTGACTTGTCTCCGCAGTAACTTAGAAGAAAAAATTTATTTTGACAGGGAAAAAAACTTGTTGTTGTGTTAATGATTTATGGACTGCATTCAACTTCACAAAATAATGTTCAGTTTAAATTTTAGTTTACTTCCATAATTTTGTAGAACGGTCAAAATGAATTTGAAAATTCAATAAATGTAAAATGCTTTTGTTGTAAAACTATTTTTATATGAAATTTGATCGATATAGTAAACTTTATCAAGGGAAAAAATACCATGCCAACTTCGGCTTGAGAATTGTTTGGATTTTAGATCTACATAAAAATGTATAAATCAATTAGTTTAAAATAACGATTAAAGGGACTGTAAGCGTAATTGCAAGTAATCCTCCTGACAAAAAGGTCAATGCCTGATTCACAACTGTAGTGTGAATTATATATATCAATGTTTATAGTTTTGAAAATTGATTATTTTTAGTTGTGATTTCTCCACAAAGGTGACTTGCGTATATCTGCTGGAGAAAAACACAGATTAGCAGAATTCACTTTGAAACCTTCAAAAACGACAACATCTTCATATCATTGATCAGATAAAGGTTTAAAGGTTGCGATTTTGAACATGGGCACTTGAAATTACGCTTACAGTCCCTTTAAGATTGATTTGTTTATTAATGAAAATGAACCCTGGCCTAAGAAATTCTTCTGCATATCGTTTAGTTGCGGAATAAGATGGTTGGCAAAACTTGACATACTCGTTTTTTCAGTAATCTTTAGCAAACTTTTAGAACTCTTCTTGGTTTTCAGAGGTTTCGTTGGTTCAGGTTCAGGTTCAGGTTCAGAGATAGGTTCGGGTGCAGGTTCAGGTTCAGGTTCGGGTTCATGTTCAGGTTCGGGTTTAGGTTCATGTTCATGTTGAGAGGGTGGGTGGTTTATTTCTAAATTTGATCTAGAATAAGGGAGGCTGAAGGTGACAGCTTTAGGACTAGGAGATCTTGTCTGCTGGATTCTAGTATTTAAAGTATTCACAGCAGTTGTAGACCTAAACAATTATACACGTTATAGTAGAGATCTTTTCAGGGTCAAGTCTTAGATAACAGCATATAAAGGGAGTGTAGGCGAAATTTCAAGTGATACTCCATAGCAAAATGGAAATGCCAAATCTACAACGGTACCCTTGAAACTTTAATCTGATCAAAAGTATGGAGGACACTACCGTTTTTCTGACTCGAAAAGGGTTTAATTAAAAAAATTCTCCATTGCTCTTCAGAAACAGGAAATGTCACTTCCGCAGAAAAACCGCAAAGAAAAATAAACAGTCTCAAGAAACAAAAATATGGATATCTATTACATACTTTATCAGACAAGGTTTAAATTGGTACCGTTGTAAATCGGACATTGATATCTCGGCAAGGAATGTCACTTTAAATTATGCCTACAGTCTCTTTAAAGAGCTTCTATTGTAATAAATCTAAAAACCTTCATAAACAAAAATTAATATATTTTACAGAGATATTGCAGTTTCTGCGGACATCTAATCAAATCTTTTATTTTAAAGAAAATCTTTTCTAGCTTTTTAACAGTTCTATAGAAACCTATATAGAACGTATTTAATTGACCAACCATTCCAATCTGCTTTAGGAAAACCAAATTAGTGCAATGATCTAAAAAATTGATTACTATGGATTTGAAAAGTTTATTACCTGATTGCGTTAGTATCATTTAAATGGTTTTGTAGAGTCGAGCGTTTCATAGGTATTTCTTCCAAATGAGGATTATTGTGTAGTTTTTCTCTTTGCTCAAAATTTTGTTGGATTTTTTCGGAAGCTGTTTTAGCCCTGTTGTAATCATAGACGAATATAGAATCAAATTTATTTATTTCAATAAAATAAGGAAATAATTGAGTTTTTGCCACAAACTCTCATTTTCTAATTTTTATATCGTTGCAACCCTATCTTGTAGACCTATAATATTTTAAACTATGTTCTGTCAAAGCAAAAAGTCTAAATTTGAATTAGCATCAGTTTTTAAGGTATTTTGGATATTTGTATTTTTACTCCTCTTAAAATATTTTTTTTTCTTCTGACCTTCAATATGGTTTTAAAGAGAAAATTATTGTAATTTTAAGCAAAACTTCATAAAAAAGGGGCATGTCCGATTCACATTTTTATCCCTGAAACCTTTATTTGTTTTAAAATGTGGAAGATTTTGCCTTTTGCTTTGAAAAGTGTTTAATTCTTAATATTTCTCAATGTTTCCTTCATCTAAAAAGAGAGAGTAAAAATTGTAGAGAAACAACAATTTAAAAATATTGAATACCTCAGGAATTCTCAATCAGACAATGCATTTAAGGGCACCGTTGACAATCTGCCATTACATTCTAAATGTGGGTTGAGTTTAAATTGCATCAACAATCAATAATAATTCCTCTATATCCATCTATACCTTGAATCAGGCGTTTCAGATTTTCTTCTTGATCTAAGTTCTGCCAGGAAAGGTAATGGAACAACTAAAGGTTGGTTCCTTACTTCACTTTGGGCTCCAGATCGTGGAATTTCCTTGGACCCTTGGTTGGCTCGATTAAAATGAGACTCATACTGATTTTGGAATTCAGTATATTCTGGATTTTGATGTATTCTAGCGGTATTGTTTTGGTAATAGGGATTGGATGATAATTCAGAAGTACTTTGTTTTTTATTTTCCAAATCATAATCGGATATATTGATAAAAGGTCCAGTTTTCACTCTGCTCCTGATATCAGGCACCTAGATAATCAGATATATTGATAAATGGTCCAGTTTTCACTCTGCTCCTGATATTAGGCACCTAGATAATCGGATATATTGTCAAACCTTTATTTTTATTTAGTATTTTATTTGTACAAAGAATTATTTGATAAAATTAAATTCTGAATGAAATTCTTTTTTTAAAAACAATTTTAAAGAAAAAAAACAGGTCACTCATCGGAAATCCCAATACTAGGTTTCTAATGTTTGTTTTTTAAACTATTATAAAATCAGGAAATCAATACTGTAATGAAACTCAAGAGAATGATTTTATATCTCAATCTGATATCAATTGTTGTGTTTTTTTTTGGAGACACATTTTTCATTGTTAATATGTAGTTTGAATGCAAGTCTGCTCAATTTGTGGATAATTTATAAAGTAAAGAATTTCTCCTCTCGGTCGTATCTTGACATTTTCTAACCTAAAAAGTTGTTTATGCTTGATGACAAAAGCAATCAATTTAGGTAAATTTGTAAAGATATTATTTACGTAGATTCTAAAAATATACCTGCGTGACCATACTAGGATTTTGCCCACTTGACATTTTTCTCTCAGAAAAAACAAAATAAATATATTTCTATTATATATATATATAAATAATATATAATAATATATAATATATAAATTACATATTCAAATGTTTGATGTGATATTTTGTAATTAAAAATAAAAATATAGTATTTCGCCCTTTCCTTAAATTATTTTTATGAAGTTTTTGCAATTGCATTTAATTTTATTTATCACTAGCTGGCCCGGCATTGCTTGTGGAAAAAAGTTAAAAATAAATCTGGAAAAAAAAATTGTGAAAAAAAATTGAAAAAAACTTCGGTTTTTTTAAAGCCTATAACACCTCCCGGCCACGGATGAGTGTCCACAAAAAACTTCAGCCCAATCGGTTCTGCCGTTTGTTCGGCTATACGAAACATATATATATATATATATATATATATATACGAATGTCTTGTTTTATTCATTACTTGATCACTATTGTTGCTCAAAAATCACAATCCTTTAATATTTCTTTTCATTTGTGCTTAGCTATATCCATTAGCCATGTATGTCAGAGTTTGTATATTGAATAACTCCTTCTAAAAACAAGGTGCTCAGTGTTCGCATCTTTCAATGTTTATTTTTTTCTAGGAAAAATATTTCTTTTCCATTAGACCAATGCAGTAGTGTGCATATAGGAGGGTACAGATAGGAGGGTACAGATAGGAGGGTACAGATAGGAGGGCACAGATAGGAGGGTACAGATAGGAGGGTACAGATAGAAGGGTACATATAGGAGGGTACAGATAGGAGGGTACAGATAGGAGGGTACAGATAGGAGGGTACAGATATGAGGGTACAGATAGGAGGATACAGATAGGAGAGTACAGATAGGAGGGTACAGATAGGAGGGTACAGATTTGAGGGTACAGATAGGAGGGTACAGATAGGAGGGTACATATAGGAGGGTACAGATAGGGAGGGTACAGATAGGAGGGTACAGATAGGAGGGTACAGATAGGAGGGTACATAAAGGAGGGTACAGATAGGAGGGTACAGATAGGAGGGTTCAGATAGGAGAGTACAGATAGGAGAGTACAGATAGGAGGGTACAGATAGGAAGGGTACAGATAGGAGGGTTCAGATAGGAGGGTACAGATAGGAGGGTACAGATAGGAGGGTACATATAGGAGGGTACAGATAGGAGGGTACAGATAGAAGGGTACATATAGGAGGGTACAGATAGGAGGGTTCAGATAGGAGGGTACAGATAGGAGGGTACAGAAAGGAGGGTACAGATAGGAGGGTACATATAGGAGGGTTCAGATAGGATGGTACAGATAGGAGAGTGCAGATAGGAGAGTACAGATAGGAGGGTTCAGATAGGAGGGTACAGATAGGAAAGTACAGTTAGGATGGTACAGATAGGAGGGTACAGTAAGGATTTTTGAAAATTTTTGAAATCCACAAAAAAACTTTTTTAAATCCGCGAAAAATAAAAGCTTTATAATGTAAGAGATAAAATGGTGACTTACATAAAGCAACATTTGTCTTGAAATATAACTTAGAATTACGTAAGAATGTCTAAATGTTGACTAAGCTTACATAAATGTACACACACACATTTTCTCCTTAAAGAATTTCTGAAAATAGTTGAATACTTTTCAAATTTGAAGAATGTGTTAGTTTCCTAATAGTTTAAAGTTGGGGCAGACATGCTTTACTGTACTCTGTGCAAGTATAAATTTTAAATCTTTTTAACTATATGAAAATTAAGAGATAGGGGGGGGGGATCTAAACTTATAATTTCAAAAACACGTTAGGAAGAAAAGTTCTAATTAATTCAGATGAAAAATAACTTTAGATGGAAACGTTTCATTTTGCATATGTCATTTAATTCAACTATTAAAAAAAAAGAAAACTTTTCAATTTTGTTATGGATCTCTATGACATTTTCATGAAAGAAATATACTGCTAAAAAGCAAACTCCGGAAATACAAACTTCGGAAATACGAATTCCGGAAATACAAATTCCGGAAATACAAATTCCGGAAATATAATCCGAAAATATGATTTCTGGAAATGCAATCCGGAAATACAATCTTTGGAAATACAAAATCCAGAAGTACAAACTTCGGAAATACAAACTCCAGAAATAAAAACTTCGGGATTACAAAATCCGGATATAATAAATCCGGAAAAAAACTCAGGAAATACAATCTCCAGAAACACAAACTCAGGAAACATTTAATATCCCGAAAGTACAATCTTCTTAGAATCCCGGCATCTCTTAGCCCCTTTTGCATATTTAGCCGCATTGCTCAATCCCTTAGCCTTTTCTTATAGCATCTCTCGACCCTTTAACTTGTCCTATACCACACCCAGGCCCATTTACAGGAGTTTGTATTTCCGCAGCTTGTATTTTCCGGAGTTTGCTTTCAGGAGTTTGATATGGCACCTCTCTTTGCCAGTTGCCGGCACGGTGATGGCCATATTAACCCTGATGGTTTTTTAAAGGAAACTATAGTTTTTTTCTAATTTCTATTTTTCTTTCCAGAATTTATAATTTGAAATATGAAAGGTAAAGGACGTCGGGGATAGTGCCTGGCAAAAACTTTTTGTTTTATAAAGTTTGACTGACCAGCTCCTGGTCCTGGTCTGCTGGTGTGACTAGAGGTCCAGGGAGGATTATACGGATCATGGATTCGTAGCTCAGTCCAATCCGTAGGATCAGGTTCCTAAACACAGAACAGAGATTATTATAGAAGGGAAATAACACTATCCCTCGGTATGAATTTGTCCCTTTGAGCCTGAAAAGGAGTTTAAAGTGTACAATTCATATCAATGTTCACAAGTTATATCCAGGTGTTTTACACTTTGATCAGCTTTATAGTTCTACTCTATACATCTAATCTCTTTGTTTCTAAAAGGGATTGTGCATGATGTAAAGTAAGGACGCTGATCGGTTTTATTTTTACATTTTGATCGGACGTATTAAAAATAAAAACTGATCATAGAAATTTTCTATCCCAACCAACTTGCCTTACTTGACTGTTCCATAAGAGTATACCCCTGATTTGTCTCCAATTCCCAATACATTTGATTAAAACAAAGATTACTATTCTAAATAGCATATTCTTTAGATTTTTCCCTGAAAGCGTCCTTCATTAACTATTAAATTTAAAAACAGGTCACTTTGGTTTTTTTAGAAATGGGATTGAAGTTTTTTTTTACGAAAAGGGACAAATTTTCTTTTGGAAAAATTCAAAACTATTTAAAGAGATTAAAAGTAATACGGCAACTATTTGAAACGATCTTGCGTTTTTCAGAAAAAAATAGTTTTTGTTTCGTTTCCGAATTATTAAAAATTATTTTTGAAATCGTTTTTTTTTTCATGACGATTTCTAAAATATTTTTCAAAAGCGAAAAACTTTCTTTTTTTAGTTTAACTATGTTATTAAGTTAACTAACTATGTTGTTAAGTTAACTAACTATGTTATTAAGTTAACTAACTATGTTATTAAGTTAACTTACTATGTTATTAAGTTAACTTTCTAAGAAGGGAAACTGTTGACGTCGGTCAGTAATCATTTTGTAAATAAATAGAAGGATATTTAAATATGCAGGAAGCAACTATAATCTCATGCTTTATATTGTATCAATTATTTGTGATCCAAACTGTATACAGAGAGACCCAGAAAACTCTGAAATATCAAGTCTAAAACATTGAACTGATGAACAGGTATAAGAATATTATTCACCTCTTGAAACAGATTTACTGGTCTAAAAACATGATTTACCTCTTGAAACTGATGAACTGGTCTAAAACATTGAATTGATGAACAGGTATAAGAACATTATTCACCTCTTTAAACAGATTAACTGGTCTAAAAACAATTACCTATTGAAACTGAGGAACTTGTCTAAAAACATAAAACTGATGGACAGGTATAAAACATTATTCACCTCTTGAAACAGATGAACTGGTCTAAACACATTATTCACCTCCTGAAAATGATGAACTGGTCTAAAAACAGTTACCTGAGGAACTGGTTTAAAAACATTGAACTGATGAACAGGTATAAGAAAATTATTCACCTATTGAAACAGATGAACTGGTCTAAACACATTATTTACCTCATGAAACTGATGAACTGGTTTAAAAACAATTACCTCTTGAAACTGATGAACTGGTCTAAAATCAATTGCCAATTGAAACTGAGGAACTGGTCGAAAACATTTACCTCTTGAATCTGATGAACTGGTCTAAAAACATTTACCTCTTGAAACTGATGAACTGGTCTAAAAACATTATTGCAGAATGTATCAGAGGGACGGGGAGAGGAAGGTGTAGCAGGGGAAGGCGGATAAGGAGATGGGGATTTAGAATCAGTATCAGATCCAATCTAAAATAATTATTGATCACAAAAACAAAGAATTTAATTAAATAGACTTAACTTCTTTTATATTGTACCATTACAAAGGAATTAACTTATAAAGTCTTTCCCAAAAACCAAAATTTCTAATTCCTTTATTTTTGCAACCCAATGGGGTAGAATTTTCATATTTCAAACTATGAATTATGTTAGATAAAATAATACAATTTATTTCTATCTAGTTGCAAATATATAGGCCAGGGATTAGCTTGGGGTTTATGGCAAAGACTTAATTCCTTTGTAATATTTTAAACTAAGACTATCTGATCTAACAAAATTCATAGTTTGAAATATGAAAAGTCAACGACAATGGGTTGCAAAGATAGACAATGCCTTAATTCCTTTAAATTGGCCAAAACAGAAGTCCAAGGGAAAAAAATCGTGAAAATCTAGTTCAGTTTATAAGTACAACAGTACAATAAGTACACAAAGTATAAGAGCCTGAGCTTTTCATCGCATAATTTCCTTCATCACATAATTAGAAGCGAACTTCTATATCTTTGACAACTTAAAATGGGTTAAAAAGACGATTAGAGGTTGCCAGTTTCAATAATAACAAGAAATGTCTTGTTTAAATTAGTAGAGTAGTTAAAATACAGCAGTAATGTTGTGTGAAATTGTTTAAAGGGACTGTATACGTAATTTTACGTAACCCTACATGCAAAGATGACAATGTCCGATTTGTAGAAGTAGAAATAAATATTTCCATTTACTGTTATAGCGCCGATATAAGGATTTATCTCTAATTGGATAATGAGATAGATAGAAAGATAGAAGTTACCGCCATACATTTCTATTGGTTCAGAAAAGACAACAAACACATGACTGAACCCTAATTGGATCAAGCGCTACATGGACTCGGCATACTGTTATAACAGTAGCCTTGAAACCTTAATCTGATCAAAAATATAGAAACCACACATGAAAATAAACAGCTTGAAGAGACAAAAACATTGATATCTAACTTATTCTCAGACAAAGCTGTTAAGGGTACGGATGTAATTAAATAGAGCATTGCCATCATTGTATGAAGGGTCACTTGAAGTAGCACATACTGCATCAGTCCCATTATTTTAAATTTGTTGAATTATACAACTTAGAACACTCCTGTATGCCGAGTCCATTAGCGCCTGAGCCAATCAGGGTTCAGTCATGTGTTTGTTGTCTATTCTGAACCAATAGAAATAGTTTGGCGGTAACATTTATCTTTCTATCTATCTCATTTATAGCCAATCAGAGTTATGAATCCTTCAATCGCCGCTTTCAGTAAATGGAATTATTTACTTCTACTGAAAATTTAGTGAGAAATGGGGTGTGAAATTGTTTATATACTCAAAGTCTAAGTAGAAAGAAAATTGAGACATAATATTTGAAACATATACTTCAGTCATTGGAAAGTATATGCTATGCTAAAAAAGTTAAGAAAGAAATGTATTATTTAAAGCATGGTGCAATATTTAGAGTATAATAAGATACTTAAACCCCTCCAACCCTTTCTATGAATCTGAGCGAAGTAGAGAACCTGGAGAATGGATCAGTGCACCTAGAACCCCTGAACAGTACAGACAAAGAAGAGAATCTTCCCATTGTACAAACAAGGCCTGGGGACCTGCACTATTGAACTGTTATCAGGCTGATATATCTTAACCATGCATACCAGAGAACTAAGGAGGACACTGACCTCCTTCCTCATCATCGGAGTCCTCAACATCACTGAGTATATCATAGGAGCTCTTTACTCTCCAGCTGGTTTCGGAGAGAAAAACACAAGGGTTAACCATACTCGTTTGTAGACTTAATCAGAAGAATTTACTATCCAGGAACAGAAGCTAGGACAAGATAGTCCAACAGACTAGCCAGTCCAACTACAGGTCAGGATATAGTCTCCAGCTGGATCTATTAACAGAGACACTGGAGATACTGAACAGCTAGGACGAGCTAGTCCAACTACAGACTGGCCAGTCCAACTACAGGTCAGGATATAGTCTCCAGCTGGATCTATTAACAGAGACACTGGAGATACTGAACAGCTAGGACGAGCTAGTCCAACTACAGACCAAGATGTATCAGAGGGAGCTCTATACTCACGAGCTGGTTCTATTGACAGAGCCCCTGGAGATATAGAGCAGCTAGGGTATCTAGGAGAACTAGGGAGGACACCAGCCTTCTTCCTCCTCATTATCCATGAATATACATCCTCGGATTCCTCGGTATCATCAAGAGATTTATGTAGTTTCTGGAACTGGACCAGTTGCTCTCATACCAGCCCATCTAAACTACCCAGAAGGATACATAGGAGGACTAGGATACCCAGTATACCAGATGATATTTTTAATCATTCTTTGAACATTTTTTTGCAAACATTTTTACTTTATAACTGGAATTTGATGAAAAAAATTTCAAATTTTGCAAATCTGCAAATTAATTGCAGATTCTAAAAGTAGAGAATCAGAGCTTTCCAATGATGTATCATTTGTCATATTTGGACATCAAATATGGGATTTAGAAGGGGGGGGGGGGCAAATTGACCCCCCCACCCAGCGTATCCTCGTTTTTAAGTCACCCAGCATGGATAGGGTTTAGAAAAGACAAGGTCAAAAGTTGTTAATTTTCAAATGAAAGATACTCATTTCTATTAAGACTCCGAGTCCGAGGTTCAAAGTATGCCGCTGTGCATCGCTTATGGCATTGAAAATCATGTCCAATAAAATTAAATGAACTTACTCTTGGTTTGATATTAACTCTACAGGCTCGCAACTGCTTTGCTATAATCAATTCTTCCTTTCTATCCTATAAAACAAATAAGTGTAGTGGTCGCCAATAAAAAAGGAGTAAGACGACATTTATAAATTTCAGTTATTTACAGGTGTGCCAAAAAACATCACAAATGTCAAATGAGAAACTTAACCTAAATTATTCCAGATATAAATTAGTTACAATTTAAAAATCTCTGGAGCCTTAAAAAAGTAGAAAAACATTTCAAAAAAATTACTTTCTAGAAATTATCAATCTATTTTGCATAAAAATGTTACCAGATCAAGCACAACTCCGGGTTGCGGCGGCATTTTTTCTGAAAAAAAAACATATTTAGTTAAAAACAAAATTCTTTCTTCATTTTGCGTTGAAATGGTCATTTCAAGGGTCAAGAAAAGCAAAAAAGAATTTGCAAATTAAAATTGACTAAATTCCTGACAGTGAGAAATAGTAAACCTTTGCTGATTTCATGTCAAGTGCAATATAATGCAACAGTTGTTTAAAATAATGTAAATTCTCAAATAGTTTAAAATTATTCATTTTGAATATAAAAATAATTCATAAAATACAGTACATATAAATATAATGATATACCATATCAATTTGATGTTAAGATAGGTTTGAATATTATTATTTTTTTACAGAGTAAAAAGTATTAAATATTCTGAATCATTTCAGGGTCCAATCTTCCCATAAAAATTGTTTATATATAAATTCTTCAAATTTTTTCATAAATTCTTACATTTTTTAGTTTCATAAAAGTTGTGAATTTTTTATGTCACTCTTCGTTATTTATGTGAACTGTAGGATAAAGGAAGTGTGTGCGACCTCAATACTAAATTTTCATTTTTAAATCCCAGGATATTTTTAGATTTTACTACAATAGACGACAATGTGTTGAGATAATTAGGAATTCGAAAAGAAAATTAAAGAGACAGAGCTGAAAACTTTAGAATGGTGGATATCGAGATAAATGCTTGATCCTCTCTTTTTCTTAATCTGAAGATTAAATTATGCATGTTTTCCTCTTGTTATTAATCTCCAGATTAATTAACCGATCGGGATTAAGAATATCCCATTCAGCTGAGAAGAATTTATCAATAAATAAAATCTATGAATTTTTAGGTTTATAAATTCAAGGAATTAAACTGTACTGTAAACTTGCGATCCATCAAATGCTAAACTTACAATATTTTTGCTTCAATTCTTTTCGACAAAAATAATTCATTAATTTAGTAGTTTTGTTCTTGCTAAAATGTCTTATACCTTTGCCAGAAATGCACACCACCCTTTGGCCTGTAAAACAGAAATGAAGCCACAGGGTTACCCACAAAGGATGTACGAAATGTATACTGTCTGCTTCTATACATTCATGATTCTCTTTAACAATATATAAACTTTTCTTTTCTAAATCATGTAATAAGCCATGAAGTGACAATATTAAATGCAGAAGACTTAATTTTTACCGGGGATCGTCAAATTTTAAGAGTTTTAGCCTTTTAGGTGGTTTTTATTGTGTTATAAATATTTAATACAAATAATAAATTGTTTAAGAAAATAACTATTTTTTTTTATAATTTTCGATGTTTTGCAGTTTTACCAAAGTTTCATAAATTGAAATTTGAATATTATAAAGAAACAGTAGAAACATTTTGGTACTGTATTTTGTACTTCATTTTCAGAAAAAAAAAACTAAATTATTGTTTAAATTCTAAATTTTTTTGCGCAGTAGTTTTTGTCAAAAACTTAGATTTTTTAATTCCTAGATATCTCTGCAATCTTTTGATATTTTAAACTATGAATTCTGTCAGATCAAGATACCCGAAGTTTGAAATATGATAGGATTACACCATCAGGTTGCAAAGAGATAGGATTACACCATCAGGTTGCAAAGAGATAGGATTACACCATCATGTTGCAAAGAGATAGGTTTACACCATCAGGTTGCAAAGAGATAGGATTACACCATCAGGTTGCAAAGAGATAGGATTAGAAAATGTTTAGATTGTGCCGAAAACTCAATTCATCGAAGACATGAAATTCATGCAGAAAGTAAAAACACATTTTCCTTAGTCAAGTCTGGTTAAATTTAGAGTTTACTTCTGTACTACTCGTGCATCTTTTCAATTAAATTTTTAGGAAAGATTTTAGGAAACTTGTCAATGATTTTTTGAATGGCTATTGCAATAGGGCCTGTAGTGTATATACGCGCGTTGTAAGGATTACAATGCTCGAATTAAAAATGTACCCTTCAAACCTGAATCGGCTCAAAATATGAAGATAACGTTGTTTCTTTTTACTCAAAAAGTGTTTATTTTTAATAATTTCTTAATTGTTTCTTATAAGTAAGAATTGCGCAGGTAACTTTTGCAAAGAAACCATTAATGAACATAAACAGTATAATAAAACTAAACCATGAATATCTAATCCATACTTGATCAGACAAAGCTTTTAAGTGTATTAAATAGTATGTAAATCGTATAGAGGGCCAATTGAAATTACGCAACCATTCTCTTTAAACGTTTTATCACTTTTCAACATTGTTTACCTTAAAAAATTTAGCCCATTCCTTTCTCCAAAAACGTTATAAAGATCAAACAAAATTAACAAACTTAAACAATACTTTTACCAATTTTGTCAATAAAAAAGTGTCAATTTAAAAGTGTTCTTAATTTTTTTCTTACGAGTGAATTATGTAGATATGGAAAAGGAATGAGTCTTTTTGCATAAACTCAAATTTCATAATCCTTATAAATATAATGATATAAACATTTGTTATTTCAAACTTGCTTACCAGATCCAACAAAATTCATAGTTTAACCCTATCTCTGCTGGGGTACTTGAAAACCAGGATGCTGGGGGGGGGGGGATCAATTTGAACCCCCCTCTAAATCCCATGTTTGATGTCCAAATATGACAAATGATACATCATTGGAAAGCTCTTGTGCTCTACTTTTAGAATCTGCAAAAAAAATTGGCAATTTTGCAAAAATTGAATTTTTTATCGCAAAATCCAGTTATATAGTAAAAATGTTTGCAAAACAAAATTTGTCCAAAAAATGAAAAATTATACATTTTTGAAAAGCCCTTGACCATGCCATTTCAAATATTTTTAAATAACCTGATTTTTAATCAAGAAAAACTAAAAATGTGCAAATTTCCTTTGACAGGTTGTTTGCAAAAAATATGCAATTTTTTCGCAAAACTTGTGCAATTCGTTTCCTTATGTCAAAGGCTTTTCCAAAAAGCTAAATTTTATCAAAATCTGACAACTGGAAGTGGGTCAAAACAAAGATTTAGTTTGTTACAGGAAAAAACAGTCATTCAGGCAGTGTGCCTGAGGAATCAGGCAGTTAGTATTAAAGCCCGGTTTTAGGCCTAAAGGAAGGGCTTTACGTATGTAGGAAAATTCAGAAAATTTCAATAGCCTCAGACCAATACTTTTTGAGTTATGTAAAAAAAACTACAGCGGGGGGTCAAATTGACCCCCCCCCCCAGCAGGAATAGGGTTAAAATATCTAAGGTCTACGATTTCTTTGTTGTACAGTATCGTAGATATTTAGAGTTTGAGAATCTTTTCAAAACATTGCTTCAAATCCCGGCTATTTTTGAAAATAAAGAGAATTTGCTAAATATTTAGTTTTATTTAATTTCATTAGTTTTGTTTACAATGGATGCTACCGAGCTGAAAGCTTTGTTATAACTAAGAATGTCTGTATTCTGTACAACTGTTTTAAGTCAGGACTTTCTATTCTACAAACTTGCTACAACTCTGCTAGTTGCTGATTGGGTCAACCGCGTGAATCCTAGGCCTGTCATTGGTCACATCCTTGCAATAGATTATTATGATAATTCTTTACAATGTGCAGAAACTGACAATGATGAATAGACTGTGCAAACAAAATATGAGTTTGAAATATTTTTAAAACAAAAATGCGAAATGACGGCAATATAGTTATACAGTAACAAACATTATACATTGTTTCAACCGTAAAAAGGGATCACACGCTTCACCGTACGGATAAATTTGGGAGAGGGTTAGAAAAATTAAGAACTTAAATTAGAAAATACAAATTTTTCAACTAAAGGCTAAATTGAAAATAATGCAGACACTTTTTTTTTATAAAATTCCTTTAAATTAGAGAGAATTTAAGATATTTTTGAGCTCATTAACCAGGTAAGGGCATTGGCAAGGCCTTATTGAAAATTTAGTGCTTAAATTTTATTTTTTGAGGTTTAAAACTTAAAGAGTATTAATTTTCTTCAATTTGATCATTCTTCGTGGGCAAATGCATCAAATGATACATATACTAAGCTGAATTTTATATGTATAAAGGTTAATGCTTGTGCTAGTTTGAATGAAAGAACATCTTTTTAGAAGATTAAAAAAATTGCAAGAATCAAAAGAAAGTTGTTAAATGCGACTAATTCAAACTGTCGTATAATGTAAAAACACAGTTATGCATTGTATAGTTAATTCTTAGAACTACTTCTGTAAAAAGAGCTTAAATTGAGAACGTAATTTGTTGAAACTGATTTACGCTCCAATAGAGGAACAAGGTACAATTTATGCGTTGTGGGAAACGTAGACTTTTAATTAAAGAAAAAATTTGTTTCCAGACAAAGCTTGGCTCCCAAGCTAGAAGGAACTCCTGGGCCGATTTTACCTAAAATTTTGATTGGGGAACTTGGTAGAACCCCGGGATTGTTCTTAGCTTGGTTTTAAAATTCTAACATGAATGTGTTGACTTTTAAAGGGGAAAAATACAAGCAAAACTGAGTTCCCAAGCTACAGTGAATCCCAGATATAGAGTTTTATATGAGAATTTGATAATTCTAAAAAAACTTTTTTATTTTTAATTCAAGGTAAATGAACAGACCTGAAATATGAATGCAATGAAATAATAATATTAAACTCATTTTCCAAGGCATTTGATCTTAAAAATGTAATACGACATTATAAAAACTCTTGCTATGTATTCATACATCTAGGTTTTACTGTAGTATAGAAAATAACATAAATTGATTAACATATGTATATGATATATAATAATGTATTTTGTGTATTTAAAACCTCTCTGTCTCCCTAAATGTTTGTTCAAAGAATAGTTCAAAGTTAAATGTTTAAAAAATGTTGTTTTTAAATTTAAAATCCGCCGCGTGAAGGTTGAAAACTGATATTTCTGAGGGTTTAAGGGAATCTCAGATGTCTCACATCTAAACTTCATCTTTTAATTTAACATATTATAATAAAAGTTTAATTTAACATATTATAATACAAGTTTAATTTAACATATTATAATACAAGTTTAATTT